GCCCACACAAATGTTCCCTAAGGAGAGCAATCTCCCACCAACTCTCTCCATCGAAAGCTTATAGCTATGTCATCTATTCTCCTTCATCACTGATTTTATATTGGATGTCACCATGTTAGTCAATGTCTCTCCTCATGTTCGAAGTTGGTGCTGACCAGGAAAAGAGGATTATCTGAACAGGATTGCAAGAGACGACCAAAGTTATCGGTTCGTCGGTATGGGACTCCCTAGATGCCACCAATATACTGCTCTGACTATCACAGCCTCCCTCCTTGACCACTGAGATCACTTGTTAAATTAGGGATATCTGAGCGTTTTGCTTTCGGCTGCATAGTAGACAGCTGCTTTTGATTGAACTAATCCTTTACTTTGTCTTAACTGGAGTCTGTCAGGATGTAGGCGGAGACTATTATGTCCTTTCAGATCGTGGACGGGTTTCGCGACCTTTCCTTCTTTTCACGAATCCGTTCAGCCGGACATCACTCATACAACTATTCACTGGAATCCAATCAACTAGCGGTTTCTCTGCCCTAGCACTCAATCTTATTCTTACACCAGCAAATCCTCGTGAACTGACCGGAATGTCCTGATACCCATAAGCTGAACTCCGCAGATTCACTCTGTTGTTCAGGTGAGTTTAAGTGAATATCCACAATCGGATTTTATATGCTTGTCTCCGAAACACAAGATACATCCATATCTTGAGATGACTGAGCTCTGGATAGTGAAGCTTGTTTTCGGTTTCGGTAGAAATTCCTGACGTTGAATGCCCCAATAGGAAGTCAACGATGTGATTTCAAGAAACTATTTGTAGTGTTTTCCCGACTCAGGTAGTTGATAATCGTCACAGAATTCGAGGGATCTACTAGTGGAAAATTACTTACAGAAATAGGTGATGGAGGTGAATTTGGGTGATGGTCAAGAAAACTTCGTGTGCTTGTGGATGTGTGTGGGCAGTTATTACTACCCAGCTGCCTACACTGTGGAAGTTGATTTCTTCATGAAGTATCTGGGACAGTATTGTGGTGGTGTGATACAGACAATGTGTTTCAACGATATATTATTCTCACATATTCCCACAGTTCAACACAACATTAGCTACAGAATACGATTTATCCATTTGAACATTCTACTTGTTGCTGGAGTCAGAACACTTTTACCACAGTTCGATACTGCGTTAGCGACATAATACTTGTATATTTGAACATTCTTTTTCATGTCGTTTAATGTAAGGCGAAATCACACGCTAAATGATTGGTTAGAGAATATAAAACTGCATAGATATAAATAGTGGTTTGGTCAATTGAAAATATACCTTGGCCTTTCTGATGTTACAGTAGGAGCAACAGTGTTGCGTAACCACAGAGTCCAGTAGACAACTTCTTGAGGCCAATCACGCACACTCCGTTCGAAGTAGAATTTGGATTTGTGTCTTACCACTTCTGCTACCGACTAATGCAAAGTGAGTCAGGATGTGCAATCTTCGGAGTTTTCTATTTTCGTGGTGCTGTCGCCCTCCACACCAGACTGGAACGGTAACATGGCTGGTGGTCCAATGGGAACGAATCACTGCTCCTACATGCGTATTTACCAGCAGTACGACTTCTCCCTCTGACCCTCGACAGAATATGAGTGACTTACGTCATGATCGTAACTACTTATAGTTCAACAGCTAGCCAAACATAACATTGATCAGAGGTATCAACGGAATCCTGACAAACTGTATTCATTGTAAAGTTGAGATGAATTATCTTGGAAGTACACATAATTTTAGACGATAAAAAATTGTGTGAATTGTACTCAGAAAGTGTAAATACCTATCGGACCGACATTGTGTCCACAAGGTCTGTTAATGTTTGAAAGAGAAGGATGTCGCTTGAAGTCATGGCTTATGATGTATCAGTTTGTCTTTTTAAATCAACAAATATTTCAGCGAAGAGATTCTTCCCGATGAATTCACTGAAATACTCGTTTTGTTGTTTATCAATAGTTTTCTTGGATGGGAATTATTCAGGAAATCGAGTGGACTTGGAAAGTGTTGATCACTGTACTCTGAACAATTGACTGAATAGTGGAATACTCACCGCAATTTCATTGTATTTCATCTCTAGGATATTTTTGAGTGCTAAGAAGGCTTTACTTCTCTGCTTGACTTCGATCAGAGTCACACGAAATAATACTAGTGCCACAACCTAATCGTATAATGTTAACAATCAGAATTGTTAAACTAAATTAGAACTCACCACCACATTCCCAACGCATCTATACAAGAAGCCTTAATATTTAACTGACCTATTCAGTCCAGAAATGTCAACAAGACTCAATTATATACGAATGACATTGAATCATATCCGCTGAACAAGTGGCCTAGTGGCTGTAACGCTTGAGCATGTTAAAATATGAGTTCTCGGTTCTATTCTATTCATACAGGGGAATACCAACACTAACTGGATGGAATACAGGGCGAATCCTAACCGCTGCACCATTAATATTCTACCACTACCACTGGTCAGCCGACAACTAGTAAACTCTTGTGGAAGCTATAATTGCCCACTAACAGCAGTAATCAGTATCTGATGACAGAAGAACATTCAATGATGAATTATTGAACGGTGTAGAATTTGACTGAGTGGTGAAATGGTCAAAATTATACATTGTAAAAGTGAAGTGCACACCACAACACTAGCTACATGCAACCAGTATTCCACATAGCCGTGTCTTGTAAGCTTAAAAATGGAATTCCCAGTACTAGATCGACGCAATATCGGTAGGGGAATCAAAGAACAAAGACAGTTATACTATGCATGCATGCAACTGTAGTGTTCTTTGTAGCACACGGCGAGCAACAGATAACACCATCAGTTGCATAATTATTTCACAGCTGAGAAATATTCAACTTGAAAGACTAATATTAACGATAAAGTGACATGTTATCTGCGGATATTCGGTTTCTTCCCGTTGGAATATGGGAGATTCATTTAACTTTCGCGGAATATACGACTACTGGTTAAGAGCAAAGTGTGGTGCGCGACACTACATCTGAGATCCCTAGATCATGAATTATCCCCGCATACGCACTGCCTCCCTTGATGTATAGTTGACGGAACAGAAGAGAGATTATATTGAATGAAAAGCGGAAGATCACCAGGAGAGAACGTGTCAGAAATCAATGAAGTCACAAGGTTGGAGTTTCTAAACTTGGCTCTTTGTGGTAGGTAACTGACTGAACCTTACTTCCTTCCATTCCATGTGGCCACTTTACTGAGCCTATGGTTATGAATGAATATGAATCAGAATAGATCACAGTAGTAGCACAGACACATTTTCCTCCTAATTATATTCACACACTTCTTCATGCGCTTTTCCACTTTTGTTTTTAAGTATACTGTTTTCACTCTTTTGTCTTACTTTCTATGAAGATATGAAGGGTGTCAGAGTTCGGACAACTATGCAGAAATGGTGCTTCCGTAAACTGGTATCATCGACTACTAATTAACTGACTGACTGACTAACAGGAGTATTTTTTAACGGGAATACTGTCACCACAGATTCAACACCATATTAAATTCAAAGCGCCACATAAATAAACTAATAATTCAATGATCCAACAGTTTAAATCACAAATTGGTATTCTTGATACTATATCAGTAAATTTATTATGAAGATGGAGAAGAATACATGTAAAATGTGCCTAGTAATCGAGCTACCGATTACTAATAAAAATTGCACAGAACTACATAGACTCCAGGAAGCACACACCCCGGGATACATAACGCATGTCCGATTTATTCAAAATAATTATGGCTCTATTAACGACTGTAATATTAAGGATAAAGATGATCCCGGCAAAACATGGTACACAACCATGAAATCATCGTTGACTTGAGCCATGTAGGAGAGTGTCAGCTGTGTAGAGATTGTTGATAGTATCGACTCAAAACTATTAGTCATGAAGCAGATATGACTACTCACTCCTCATCATCTTTAGAATTCTCGTTCAACTTCACCCCATAATTCTAGGTCAATAAAGATTTTTACATTTGGATAAAAACACCAAATAATAATTCTCTTTCTCAAATAAGGATTTCTGTCCACTGTATTAGCACTGTTTTTTCTTCTCTTTATGTCCCAGTGTCGAAGGGTAACGGTGAGAACTACTGGACATCTATTCAAAGTTCTACGTAGATTCGTCGATCAGTCAATGACTTAGTTCTTCAGTAACTCAAACAATATATTGAAATGTACGCCTAATAATTTACTAGTTACAAGTAAGAACTACTATAATGTCGACAATCAATAATTCTTTTTCGAAAAATATAACAATACCATATTGCATCTTTTCATAGTGTTCATTTGAACTGAATCGAGATGATTGATTAGTATTTTCAGTGTACTAGTTGAATACCCTTAGTTCGTTAAACTGTGCTGATTTCAGTTCTAGGTTAAACTGTCCATTCAGTCGATCGATATTCATCTTAAGGCCTATCGAAACACTGACTATTATAGATGTACACTTTTATGACACATTTTCTGATTGGTTGTCTGGTCGTGTTTACGATTAGGTCTAGAAATGTATTCATATTCGCTTTATAATATGTACAAATTCAGATTTTAGGTTTTGTACAGCTTTCGATCGATTTCATAAGTTTGAGAAAACTCCCTGAAAACCACCAGGGAGTACTGGATAGCTGTACTTCATTCTCGTTTTAGACTCTTTCGCGGTGCACACACACACACACCGATAAACCTAACAATGATCGAGCGTTAAACCTTAAGGTTACCTGGCCGGGCCTGTTGACTATTCACTCACTGGATTGGAATTCAACAATGTGTGAATTCGACGAATTCATGTGCTACCACCACCGACTGAGATGCTGGACCCCGCGGGTCAGTGTATCTATATCATATATTACACTTAATGTGAAGTAACCCAATCACTGTCAAGATATCAATGAAAGCAAAAGATTTCTTTCTATTATCTATGTACACAAAGAGAATGAAAGCACAAAAAAATAAATAAATAAAAAAGGGAAAAAAACATTGCAAAGAAAACACAACAAACAAATCAAAAGAAATAGGGGTGGGGGAGATCAATATTCAAATGGTGCTCATCAAGTAAATCAGTTGTCATTGATCATTGAAGGTTGAACACAAAATAAGGCAAAGAAAAGTATAAATTATAGAAAACCAAATCAAAACAACAAAAAATAGAATTAAACAATTATAATTAAGATTTTAATAATATTAAAAATAATAATAATAATTACACCAATATACAATTATTATTTCCAGGAGTAACAGAAAATAGTTCTTTTATTAAAAAAAGAGGGAGATATGTTGATTCGTTAGTTGTTGTTTCCTCCTCAGGATATGTAGTGTACTCACACACACACACACACACTGATGAGTACTCGTAAATTACATATTAACAAATAGAGTAAGTTGTGGTCAGTTTTGAAAGACAATTTTATCTATGAAGTACACAATCAGTAAGTATAGACAATGTTTTATCAAAAGAAATAAAAAAAAGACAGTGATAATCGTAAATTAACTTGTGACACAACAATGAAATACTATTAGGTCATCATAGTATCAGTGGCGTTGTGTGCAAACAAGCAAACAAACACGTATGTTGTTGTTGTTGATCCGTCGTGTCTTGTGTGTGATCTAAGACGAGAGAGTGAGTGAGTTAGAGAAAGTAACTCAATTAAATAATTAAATAAATTACAAATTAAAGTAGTAATTAAAAAAAAGAAGCATTTGTATTGATTCAAATCACAGTAATCACAATCAAGGCTTATATAAAGAGCTGCAATTAAAAAAAAACACAGTTAAGGCTGATTCTTTTGGAAATAAAACAAATTATTCAGTACGCAAACAGACAAACACGAAGGCAATAAAAAAATAGGAGGTAGCGAGACAGAGTGAGTGAGAGAAGGAAGTGGAATGAAGAAGAAAACAACCCGGTGAGAGGGAGAGAAAAAAAAGTAAAAAAGTCAATGTACAAATCAACAACTTATTGCGCCTTTTGTTTTAATGTCTACGAAAAGTGAAACGTGAATTTTTCACCCGAGACTGTGATTTCTTTGTTTCATTATCCGGTGGAGAGGCGCGAGTATGATCTGAGGTAGTAGGCGTAGTGCTAGACGTAGAAGTGGTAGTCGTCATAGAACTGAGAGAAGTAGTGTTGCTAGCACTAATTCCACTAGCTGTAGCACTATTGATACCACTGCCGCTTACAACACCGCCACCAGTAGTGCTATTGCTTGTATTACCAGTATTAGATGTATTGAATGAAGTCAATTTACTCCAACGAGTTGATACACTTGATCGAACACTGCTTGTCTCTTTGGTTGATGTATTAAATGTGCTGAAATTGAATTAAAAAGATAAAATACAATATACATGTGTTCATGAATAAGGACATCTGTTATTAAAGTTGATAAGGTTTTAATAGTCTAACAGCTCAATAATTCAAAAATCAAGTATGACCACGCATTGATATCAGTTAGAGGACCATTGAAAACCACCAGGAAATACAGGATAGGTGTTTCTTCCCAGTTTATGACTCGTCGGCAGTACACACACTACCGGGGTTCGAACCCACAACCTTCTGGTTACAGGTCAAGCTCTCAGACCATTCAGCCACTCGAATCTGACTCAATGACCAGCCCATGAATTCTAACTTCGACTGATGTGTGAATTCAGCGCAACTGACACCAACCAGCCAATGTCATCGGTGGCGAGTATTTGACCTCACTTCCAACCGGACGGACCCTGCTGGTCACGACTTCTCACTAGGACTCCAGTCAACTTCGTTTTGAAGCCAGTCACTAGTGAGCATCAAATTAATTTTCAGCAGTTAGTTTGCAGAGATTTGATTTGGTGGAAGTTAGAATTCATGGACTGGCCTCTGAATCACATCCCAGTTTCTGAATGGTTCTAAGTTTGAACCCTTATTGAGTGCATACTACCGATGACTTCCAAACTAGAATGAGATAGCTTTTTAGGACTCCTTGGTGCCTTTTCAATGGTTCTTTAACTGATATCAACTCCTGATTAAACTTGAAATATTGTATGCACGACAGATGTTTGTTATAACTAATTATGATGGCGAAAGTACACCACCTTTGATTGGATAACTTTTAACCAATCACAATCATAATAAATGATCAAATAGTTGTGGAAAATCATTATCATGCTTTACGCGAAATTTAACATATTAACACTCGTTTAAGAAAACAATAACGACATATTCAGTGAATGACATTCAGTTTAACCAATATACACACATGTCTGAATATAGTTGACTGTGTGACAGATTGTGATAATATCCATTTATAAGTTTGATATATTAGAACCATTGGAAAACCAACAGGGAGTACTGGACAACTGTTTCTTCCTAGTTTGGGACTCTCCTCAGTAGGCACCCACTGGCGTCCACCGTGTAAGATAGAGAGAGAGAGAAAGAGACCAGTTACTCGCCTGTGACATTGGCTGGTGGTTGCACTATATTTATATATATCACGAATTGGCAGAAGTTGGAATTCATGGGTCATTGCATCGGGTCCTAGTCACCGAATAGTCTAAGGTCTCGCCTTGTAACCGGAGGGTCCAGGGTTCGAAACCCAGTGGGTGCGTAGCGATGAAGAGCCCCCAATGGTTCTCTTAAATGACGCCAGCTCGTGATCATACTAGTACACAATCAAATCCATGCGCATCCGCATTTGGTAATATCCATTTACACAAAGCTGAAGTAGGTGATAGTTTGAATCAGAAATTGATATGACTACAAATCAAACTCACACATCTGACGGATGGACGAAAATCTTTAAAAAGAAGTGAATCAATTAAAATTGCCACATTTCGAAGAATAAGGAAGGTAAGAGAACAGAAATGTAATAACACTATCATAGGCAAATATAAACGTAAGGGAGAGGATAATTACAGGAAGATTACTGAAGCTTTCCAAAATCATAAAGATTACAAGTGGTGAACACTTAAACGCCACATGGAATAATTTTCACCTGTGCTACAGTGAAGTACCATTCGGATATTGGCAGCACAAAGCACACATTTTCCAAATGCATCTCTGAACATTATCTCGCATGGTTAGCAAAAGGACAATGCAAGACAGTTACTAGCTCAATTCTCAAGCACTTGGTAAACTCAAGCCACGTAGCTCCACCACAGTCGTCTTTCAAGATTATCTACAAGGTGAGGCCAAATGGTACAAAAGGCGTCAAGTTTCGGCATTTGTCCATGGTGGAGGCATTGGCAATTCGTCAATACAACCACGAACTCTGTATACCATTCAGATACTTTAGGAGTGAATAGCAAGGTTCACAAGTTACTATACACTAATCAGTAACTAAGTCAGTATCCGAAACTCTTGAAGGCTATGACCATTATTTTTTTTTAATTATAGCTTGATTCCACACCGTATTTTTGGTAGAAGTATGGAATTTTCAGCCCAAATTTTGCAGGTCGACCATTGATATCAGGTCTGCATCAGCAGGGGATCGAACCCCGGACCATGTGCATGGTTGGCAAGAGACCTAACCACTGTGCCACCTATGAACAGAAAGTGAATAGAAATTGTTTCACAACGAGACAAAATTAAATACACCACACTTTTATAGACGAAAGGGAGAAATTATTAGTCATGTTTGACAATGAAACCTGGACAACTGATTAAAAGGGTGTAAACAGAAGCCACAAATGCAAAAGAAATAAAAATATCAGAGAGTACCATTGTATCAGGCCGAAAGTAGGCATTGAACAAAGGCGAACAAATTTGTAGGTAGGTGGGGAGAGAGAGACGTTGATTACTGAATCTTTGTTCATCGACTCTACACTCAATACGTGCAGTAAGTAGGAATGACTCATCACCAATACCAGATATATGAAACAAGGCGAACGGAGTATAAGTAAGACGGAACACGTGTCTAGTGAAGTCTGCTTTTCAATGGTTCGCTGAAAGAAAATGTTATTCAACAAGTACTTGAGATTCCATGCAGCTGGTATTGGGTCATACCTGTTGTGTAAGGGCTAATGATACCAACTAGTTGAGTAAGCCTCGTTAGGTGTAGGAGGATTCAAAACCATGACCCAGAGGTTGGAAGTCAAGTGTCTAGACCAATGATTCCTTAGTAAGTGTTGATTCATGCCGGAAAATACTACGGTACTAACAGTGAAAAAGCAACTACATATTATTATTTAATAAGTCCATAGTAAATAGTATGATTATAATGAACAACTTACCATGACCGTCCTTGATCATTTAATCGAAGTTTTGAGTATAAATCAGACAGAAATTGTTCCACTTCACGAACTCGACGATTATCTCCACTTTCTATAAAATCTAAGCGTATACGATCTAAGCCAGGAACTAACCACTGCAGTACACTTGATTCATTTTGTACAGCTTGAATAATAATCGATTTGTAGTTTATAGTGTCATAGTAATGCATAGAATTAAGGTATGATAACAAATATGATGACATTCGAAAGAACCTATTTGAAATGTCTCACCTATTATAAAGTTAATTGTTTAGAGTGACTAAAAAAGGTCAACCCATCAACCACACCAACTACTTATGCACACGTGACTAAGAATGTGACCTACCACTATTGATGTGTCTGACTTATAAAAAGGACATCTAGCCGATGAGATACATCAGGTGGGAACGTCTTTGCTAGGAAGCCATTAAAGGCTGCGTAATAAATAACATGCTGGCCTTATAATTTGACAGTCTTCGTGAAAATAATATGTCAGTTACTAATGTTGTGTACCTCCATTCACTGAGACGATTAGAACATAGATCAGACAGACAGCAGACTACACAATGCTGATATTTTGGTGCTCTTGCAATGAGCTAGTTGATTTAATTGCGAAGCTGTCGTCAACTTCAGTGCTTACTGCAGGATAAACGCCGCCTTTCTTGTTGATCTTGACCGTGACATTAGTAGTTTCCGGAGATTCTCGATTATTTCAACATATTGCTAAGAGCTTATAGCATCATTTGCATTGAAATCGCCAAATATAAAACCAATCCAAGAAGTAACATTCTAATAATTTCAGTGGAGTAATCGGCTAACTAGGTTTCTATTGACTGGCAGGTTTTAACATAGAACTTTCCACAGAAGTGCAGCAGTTCCAGTTGCCACACCCCATGTACCACACAAAAAGATAATAACCAGAAATGTGAGGGAGGAAGAATAGTATTGCAGTATTACAGATAGTGAAGAGAGAAGGCATGTGCACCAGTGAAAACGATATCGAGCCATATCCCCGATTGTCTGAAGTCATTGGTTCTAACAATCACGAGGATCCCAAATAGTCAAGCAGTCTACACCTCCCTAACTGGCTGGCTGGCTTAAACTAACGGTTAGAGATTTCATGGAGTCATCCCATGTCTCCGTTTGATCAGTACTAGCTCTTTTCCAATCTCATCCATCCGATGTCAGCTAACATTGCCCGTCGAAGAAGTCGATGGCTAGTCATGCTTGACTCATACATATTCTAGCCATCATCTCGGTCGACTGACTTTCCCTCCTTATCTAACCCTCGACGCCTAGCCTCAATATTACTCACCGTATTACACCACTTACCATGGAACACAGACACCTATGGTCAAAGACAGCTAACCAACCTTTTCATGTCTTTCACTTTCAATAGTCATGTCTCACAGCTATAATGGAAGACGGAGTGAAGTGATGTGCAATACACACGTTCAGCCGGATATCACATCTACGCCAGAGAATGAGAGTAAGTTTGGAAATTCCACACGAGCTTTTTGTATCTGTGGTGAAATTTGGTCAGCGACTAGCCCATTGGGGTTGATGAAACTACTCAAATGCGTGAAGTGATCAACATATATATATATATTTCCTGGGATTCTACACTAACCATTTATTATATAAGGCAATGTAAACAAAAAAGGATACAGTATGCAGCTGTTGAAAACACCGTGAACAAGTGGTTGGCTAATTCCGTACGTTGATCTAAATTTGGCAGAGCATTATTCATCTCAGCTAGATTAAACAGCCACGGTAATATGTCTGTAAAGAAAAAGCAAAGATAAAATCAAAATAAACAAAAGTGAGAGAGACATGACAAAAAAAAACAGGAGAAGGAACGTGTATATACACTATTTTGTTTTTCTCAATAACTAGACTTATCGAATATCTTATTGTTAACATTGATAAGAAGACTTTATTAATTCAAATTTGACAGTATTTTATATTTTTAACAGTTGGTTTGTAAGCATTAGATTTGTTTTTACGAGTTTGACCACGGATTGATATCAGTTAGAGAACCACTGAAAAGCAGGGAGTAGTGGACAGCTGTTTCATCCTAGTTTAAGAATCATCGGCTGGGGTTCGGAACCAAGACTGCGGAGAACGATGCGAAATGGAGATGTTCTGTTGAAGCTCAGTGTTCCACTCGGAACGAAACGGAATAATAGTAGTCATAATATTGTCCCGGTTTGTTGTTTTTATCTCGAAGGCCCCAGCCAGGCAGTCTGCAAATCTCTGCAGAAGTCAAACCAACCATCAAAGCCTTCATGGATTGATGCCGAGTTCTAGTTTGACCAACCCCAACACTTTTCCAACATAATCCAATGTCAGCTAACATGATATGTTCAATGACGGAGACGAATGCTTGGCATACATATCACGTGTCCTAGACATCTGATTCGATGCAGCTTCCAAACGTCGTGGATTGACTTTCCCTCCTCACCCAACAGTATACGTAGTCCCAATGTCGCTCACTATATTAAACGACTTAACAGGGAAGGTAGAACAAAAACACCTATGTTAGAAGACAGCTAGCCACTTCAAGTTATCCAGTTTCGATGAACACGCTTCACAGTCACAAAGGGAAATGCGTTACAGGTAACTGAGTTCTAACTGACTCTATAAGATCAAAACGTCGGCATTACAGCAGAGCCTAATTATATGTTAGCCTATTCATGACATACGCGGTGCATAGTGATACAGTATCATTTACTCTACATCATTTTAAGCATAATCCATTGCTCAAATAATCGTATAATACAATTTCTCCAATTGAATTTCTATATTTACCCAAAGGCATTCTCCTTCTTCATTTATATTAGTAGAAGAATTTTCCAAATATCTGCAATGAACGTTTACTCACTTCAATTACATGTATTGGATGTCAAAACAAAGATTGGGTGGTAATCAGTCTCTCTCATTCTTCTTTTCTCTCTCTCTCCCTCTCTGTACACCTACCTATATCGAATTTTAGAACTTTCATCCTATTCCAGAACATGCATTGCGACAGCTAAGCTGGTTGAATTCAACGCTTAAAATCAATATTCCCAGTAAAATGCATGCTACCGGTAAAATTCACAAAAACCATAGTTAGTATTTTATACCCACAGGTGACTTTCTCACTGAAGGTGTTCTGCTGTCCAGAAGGACAATAAAAGATCGACCTCAGAAAACAAAATACAACATTAAGGCGTTCACTTGGGCATCAAGTCTTCTGCATCATGATAAACACTACTAATAAATAAATTTGAAGAAACTCTGTGGGGAAAAAAGTTAAATAGGATTAAAAATGGGAATGAGTATTAGTCAAATCACCGAATCAATTTCTATTCGCATATTTAGTACATATATTAGTATAAAAATGAGTGGACTTCCAGTGACCTGCTTAAATCACTGGGTGACCTAAATTTTCGATCTATCTATGCTGTTGTTTTAATCATATAGGTATTTTTAAGAATCGCAGTGTATACTCAGGCGTATTTTCAAGTCTAAAGTAAATGGAGGAGAAACACTTTGGATTTTTGGAGCATAATTCGGATAAAATAATATCGTCTCAGCTGATATATTGTCGTTTATTATTATTATTTTTAATTCCTTTACGTTCCTAGTGAAACACAGGGCTTCAAGCTAGAGCTTTGAAGATTCCGTAGCAGTGGTATTTATTTTTATGGGATGGGGTTGCTAGCCTAATGCCCAACCTTCCTTCCATACCAGTCTTATTACTGGCTTATCGAGGTGAGAGAGTGCGTCGGCAGGGGATCGAACGTTTATTATATTACTTGAAAATTCTGTACAAGGAGTAAATACCTTGTAATAGCAAGCTTTCTGAAAATTTTGTATTGCGTATAAATGCATTTTCCAGAAGAAAGCTATTGTTATTATTATTATATTATTAAGTGTGCGTCGGTGGCACAGTGGTTAGGACTCTCGCCGAACATGCACATGGTCCGGGGTTCGAACCCTTGCCGACGCACACCCGATATCTATGGTCGGCCTGCAAAAATTTGGGCTACCGATATCCATGCTGAAAATTCCATACTTCTACCAAAAAGTACTGTGTGGAATTAAGCTGTAATCAAAAATAAAATAAAAAAATATATGGAGAATAGTGAGAGTTTAATCCATACGGGAGATCTCCACTATTGATAACGATTCTGAGCCATTTCACCACCACACATAACTCTCTTCCCATCCACTTCTATGTCAGCTGACATTGGGCATGAGTAACATATGTCATACCTATCTTAAATGACGCAATGTCATAGCCTCGTCATTTGACATACGCTCCTTATCTGACATTCTACGGCTAACCTCATTATTAATAACCATATCGTACCACCTAACAGGATACCTAGAACATATGCATGTGTCGTCAGACACCATTAGTCTGGCTGCTGCTGCTGGATTCAACATAGAACTTGGCACCGAAGTGCAGCAGTTCGAGTTGCCACGTTCCAAAGAGCACACAAAGGTAGACAAGAAAATGAGTGAAGAGAATCAATAGAGTTTTGACAAGTATAAGAGTGAAACAGAATGAGTAATGGTAGAAAGGAATATGAAAGATTACAGAGACTGAATACATCTGCGCCATTGACGACGATTTTGAGCCATGTCACCTAGTGTCTCCAGCCATTGATTCTTAGAGTCCCAAGGGCCCCAACCGGGAAGTCTGAATCTCCCTACCTGACTCAGTTTAACTGTCAGGGATTTCATGGATTGATGCCATGTTTTTGTTTGGCCACCACTTACTCTTTTCCAACCTGCACCTATATCAGCTAGTAATACCCATCGGGGGAGGCGATGGCTAGGCATGCGCAGCACGTGACCTAGCCATCTCAATCTATGTGACTTTATAGCCTCGTCGATTGATTTTCCCTCTTTGCCTAACACTCTACGCCTAACGTCGACATTACTTACCTTATTATACCACCTAACGCGAGAAAGAGATCGTAAACATCTGTGGTCAAAAACAGACAATCTCTTCATGTCTTCCGCTCTCAATGGCCACGTCTCACCGCCATAAAGAAGGACGGAGCGAACTGCTGAGCAGTACAGACGTCCCTTAGTTGATAGTCGGATGTCACGCCTACGCCAAAGACGGTGTAAGTTAACGAAAGCAGCCCGAGCTTTTTGGATCCGTGCTGAGATTTCGTCACCAATCAATCCGTTGGTGCCTGGTCAAGTCATTCACCGTCAAACTGCCATGTATCACTACCATAAAGAAGAGTGGAGGGTGCAGTGGCGCGGTGCACACCATCTTTGTTCAATGGCCAGATGACACAAGTTGGAAAAAAGAGTCTGCCCTTTGAAACATGGAAGATGCGATAGAGTGGTAGGCCCTAAAAATCTCTTCTTTGATACAAGACTCCAAGAAAGAATCAGTGATTCTCTCTCTCAAAAGAGTCAAGCTGTATAAGAACATTGTGATGAACAATTATCATAAATAACACTTACTATTCTGTTGGAAATTCTCATCACATGTTGGCAATAGACGATTAGTCAATTCTAAAAGATTATGAACTAGTGTACTCCAAAAACGATGTTGCGAAATTATTAACCGATCCATAGTATAATCTATTCTCGCGTTCAGTTCATTCGAAGGTGTTGTTGCTCGACCAATAACTAAATCATACTGTAAACTGAGTAAATCGAATGCCTTGAACAGAAAAAGATAAAAAAGTGGAATGTGTTAGTTATAACTGATACCAATTTGGACTTCTTTTATGAACTGGTATCAAATGAAGAAAAAGGAAGGAAAAGTAAAGAGACCTGAAGAACTGGTTTTTTCCAGTATATAACTATTTGAAGGCGCATATTCATGATGTGGTGAGGTATTGAGCCAGAAACTGGCATGCGATTTGCTCCTGTCATATGTAAGATGATGCTACAGGACTGAACTACATCGAATCCTACCTCAAAAATAGGGAGTAAAGTCGTAGAATCTGTTAAACACCTCCCTTATTTGGGAAGTTACATCTGCCAGCTCCAACGGGTTGATCTCTGACAAAATCTCTGCACTCCTAAGAAAGGTTTGTGGTGTAGACGTGATGTCCGGCTGGCTATCGATCAGAGGACGTATGTACTTGTCAGTGGTTTGCTCTGTCTTCCCTTATGGCTGGAGGTGAAACACAGCGATTGAAAGTGGAAGACATGAAAAGGTAGGCTAGCTGTCTTTGATCATGGGTGTCTGCTTTCTGTATCCCGTCTTAGGTGGTATAATAGGGTGAGTGATATTGAGGCTAGGCGTCGAGTCTTAGATAATGAGGGGAAGTCAATCGATTGAGATGGCTAGGACATATATTAGGCATGACTAGCCATCCATCGGCTTTCTCGACAATGGGCAATGTTAGCTGACATCGGATATATCAGGTTGGAAAAGGGCTAGTGTACTGATCAAACGGAGACATGGGATGACTCCATGAAATCTCTAACTGTTAGTTTAAGCCAACCAGCCAGTTAGGGAGGTGTAGACTGCCTGATTGTCTGAGATCCTCGAGATGCTAAGAACTAGTGGCTGGAGACAACTGGTGATACAGCTCAAAATCATTCTCAGTGATGCAGATGCATTCACTCTCTGTGATCTGTCATGTCCAATGAAACCCTACTGTTTTTTCCATGTTACTACTATCCTTTCTTCATCACATTTCTGGTTATTATCGTTGTTTCAAATACCTCGTTTACTATCTTTTATCTTTCATTGTGTGGTACATGAAGTGTGGCAACTGGAACTGCTGCATTTCTGTGAAAAGTTCTATGTTGAAACCTGTGAGTGAGTATGATGTTCCTTTTGTTCAGATATGATTATCCTAGGCCATGAATTGACATGAATATGAAATATAGTACACGTAAACTGCTTACCATAGTCCGATAATTAGCATATTCACTTAACAGTGTTTGCTTGGGCGCATCTGTTGTCAAAACTAAAGGAACATTCTCCATAGCAGTTGAAATATTATTGTCTACTTTACAACTTCCAATTGTATCAACGATAGCATTAGTATTAGTTGTCATTGTTGTTGTTGATGTCGCTGATGTGGAAGATAAATGCGTTGAATTTAAAAATGGTACACAGACAAGCATAAGGAAGGCATACAACGGGCCTAGTGAACAGCACAGTACACTCCAATCTGCTTGATCTGGTGTAATTCGTTTCCGTTGACCCGTCACATCATCTCTGGTTACTTGACTGACAAATGGCCAAATTAATTCTAGTAAATGTGACTGATAAATATCATTGTGTAGAATTGGACTACAACCACTGTTGGCAGTTGTAGTAGTAGTATTCGTGGTAGCGCCGATACTACTATTACCAGTATTAGTAGTAGCAGTTGTTGTTGTTGTTATTGCACTGTTATGCCATCCACTGATAAATCGTATAATTTCAATGAATGCGTGCAGTAGACTTACAACAGCTCGACGAACTGAACTATCAGCACAACTTAAACACGGACGAAGTGCTGGAAGTAGAATATCCTGGATAATTGTCTCTAAATTAGTAGTTAGACTAATGGAATGAGAATAGTTGTAAATGAAAACGAAAATAAGAACAAAACAAAACAACAAAAAATCAATGCATTGAACACTATCCAAAATTTGGTTTACTTTAAATGATAATATAAAGAATTAGTTAGATGTAAACAATTGTAACCATCACGATTATTATGACTATTGTTCCTATTCTGTACACATTCATTGATTTAAAAATTTTATATACATATATATATGTATATATATATATATAAAGTTAGAGGAAGGTAGAAATACAAAAAAGATTATCTATTCCGTAAATTGTGTTCTAACAGCGGAAAAATCCTCTAGCCGAAGTTATTTTCTTGACCTGTGAACACATCAGTTTGCAACTTCAACCAACGAGAATGTAACTCTTAAACTGACGCGGAAGAAATGTTGATAAATTCAAGAAAGCACGAGTCTTTCTGTAACCTTGGAAACACATCATGAGATAAGTCACACAAAATATTCGAACAGCAATATGAAGAAAGGTGAATAGTAAAGCAAGAGTAGATATAAGAAGACAGATAAGCTCATTAATCAAATACTACTCAAATAAGCATTCAGGAGAAGTACGGTGGCCATGCATTTCGATACTGATACACAATCTATTACGTTTCATGACACTGAGCCACATGAACGTCGCAGCCTGCAGACAGGGGCATGATACACCGTAAAAGCCTAATTCAATATAATCAGCCCACTTACTAACACCCTATACTATCAGTTGAATACGTCTAATTTATTTTTATTCCTTTACTTTCCTAGTGGAACACAGGGCTTCAAGTTTCGGTAGCAGTGGTGTTTCATTTTTACGGGATGGGGTTGCTAGCCTCATGCCCAACCTTCCCCCTTTGCCAGTGTTATTACTGGCTTATCGAGGTGAAGGAGTGCGTCGGCCGGAGATAAATCCCCGGATCATATGAGTGGTTGGCGAGCATTCCACCGCTGTGCCACCGACGCTGAATACGTCTACATTTGCCCAATCCAGCGAATACGTGCTAAGATGAAATCACCTATTGAAGACAGTTTCTAGTGTTTTTTAAGCATGTGTCTTCGAAAGTCAGAACAACTTCAGTGAGAATAGGCAGTAGTAGGCGTAACCAGTTTACTATCATCACTTTGTATATTTCAAAGTTTATAGAAAAATGGGACGCGAAAGAAATCGGGTACAAACTGAAGTATGATCCATTTCAGTGCTCCAGAAAGAACAACAGTCTTTTATGCATTTATGTAGTCGGTATCTGAGCTCAGGTTTGAACTACACACATATATAATATGAGGTGAGACAAGGGTGATAGATAGAGTTGGATTGTGATGAGCACAGAGGTTTAAAAAACGCCTTCAATTATCTAACCTGTAATAGTCTAGTATCTGCTGATCAGCTGTACAAACCACTGATCCTGGGTGCTTTAAATATCCATCGGCCTGGTAATATGCGAAATAGACTCTCCTTGACCTTTTCACTTTTTTTAAATGACTCCCATCACGTGATCGTACTCCCGATTAGTCCCAAACTAAGACGAAACAGATATCAAATACTCCCTAGTATTCAGTGGTTCTTTAACTGATATAAATCCGTGGTCGAAATTGAAACAAATCAAGTCTCTACACATTAACTGCTGAAAAGTAATCTGATGCTCACTAGTGACTGGCTTCAAAACGAAGTTGACTGGAGTCCTAGTGAGAAGTCGTGACCAGCAGGGTCCGTCTGGTTGGAAGTGAGGAGGTCAAATACTCGCCACCGATGACATCGGCTGGTGTTGCTGAATTCACACATTAGTCGAAGTCAGAATTCATGGGCTGGTCATTGAGTCAGATTCGAGTGGCTGAATGGTCTGCGAGCTTGACTTGTAACCGCAAGGTCGTGGGTTCGAACGGTAGATGTGCCTACTGACGAAACAACTGTATAGTACTCTCTGGTTTTGAATGGTATCAGTCCGTGGTCAAACTTGTAAACAATCAAATGCCTACAAACTAACTCTTGAAAATAAGATTCACCTTGCATGGGCTATGAAATCTTGACGAATAATAGCATTTCGAGGAAAGACCAGTGTCATCGCTCTCTCTCTCTTTCGGCAGTGTTTATGTCATTTCTAGCGGGCACATACAGCCAGTGAGTATCACCAAGCGTAAGGCTGAAGTTTAACACAACCTACTTACTAATGACATTTAAAAAAAAACGGAGAATACCAACATTAAAGTATAAAGATCACACATAAATTCAGTTGAGATTTCGAAATAACAATTAAAACCTGACAACTACACTGATTAGCATTTGAGTAATTGATTTTAATAATGTGAGAGGATTTCGTCTTCGATAAGGACAAAAGAGATTCCTAAAGCTGCGTGATGTCAAAGCTTTTGTTGAAGTTGAATTGATAATTACAGAAAGAGAAATACCATTAATATAAGTGAAGAACTTTACAGTAAAAGGTAATATTATCAAGGTGGACAGAGCCATGAGCAAACAACAATCACAGAACCACTGGAAACCAGAGAACACCTGGTTGGTGTTTCCCCTTGGTTCTGAATTCTCTCTCGCTATCTCTCTCTCCCTCTCTACATGACCTCACCATGATTCCAACCTCGAACTTTTAGAATGCAAGGCTTACTGCTGAAAAGTCACAGACTACGACAAAACAGCCATTCAGTGCTCCTTGGTTTTCAATGGCTCTCTCTCTCAACACGTGACGAAATCTACGAACAAGTCAAGGAAATAAGCACAAATCTATCATTAAAATTGATTAACTAATTAATTGTGCTTACCAAAGACACCAAATTGTCAAAGTTATACAGTGAAGTGGAAAACCTTCACGTGCATGTAAGAATATAGCACTGGTTAGTAGCATTCTCACTTGACCCAATTCTGATTTCTGTAAAGAAAAAAAAAAGAAAATTATATGAAATCGGACAGTTTATTCACACATGAAATTATAAGCCAACGATTATTTTTTGGGGGGAATGAACAGAAAGAAAAGTCAGTCATCAACTGAAGAAAACCCAGTCTGCAGTGTATAAAGATAAGAATCAATCAATAACTAGTAGACGTAGAAAACCATATACTACTGATTGATTGAGACAAGTAGTAGTATACTATTTACATCAACAAGTAGTAGGTGATCTAAACACCAGATGGCTGCTTCGATCGTTCGAGGTCGAGCTCATCAGCAGTGTATCCAGTTTAATTCAGCTCAGAGAGCCGAATGAGTTCAAACCACCCGAATTCTGCCTAGCTATTTGCGTGAACTGGTAATACCATAAAATCCCCAAAATTGTTATCAACCTCATCCAACAACTATATGACAATAACACATGTCAAGTGATCCAAAACAGAAAACTAAGCGAAGCGATTGAAGTCAACTCATGAGTAAGAGAAGGCTAGCTACTATCAGCAATGATATTCCTAACTGTGGTGGACCGGATTATGCAGGACACCGTGCGTGGGGAGCCAGAAGGCTGGAATAAAGCAGAAAAAAAAATAAGAAGACTTAATAAGATATGGACTTCGTCGATGGTTTATGTCTAATGTCACACAAACTCCAAGACTTACAGGATAAAACCAACAAACTGACAGAAGGGATAGGGAACAAAGACAGGACTTCAAGTGAACATAGAGAGAACAGTGTTGATCATCAAAATACCCACCGAGAAACTACAGCAAGCAAAAATTACTATCGAAGGGAGAAATTTGAACGAGGTCACTTATTTCATAAAGAACATCTCAAACAAACTACAGACCTTCATTAACAGTTGTCTTCGCTCAATACTCAAGAGCAGATGGTCGGCCTGAAAAGATCGGCAACAGAGATCTCTGGCAATGAGCAAACCAACCAGGAACCGATTGTGAAACAAATAGGCAGGAAGAAATGGAGATGGATTGGCCATACTCTGAGGAAACAAGCCATCAAGTGACATCACTAGACAAGCCATTGCTCGAGTGGAACCCGAAAGGGAAGCGGCGAGTTGGTCGTCAGTGCAAGGGTGACTTGGAGGAGGTCATGTGAAGAGGAGATGAAAGCATGTTGGCAAACTTGGAGCCAGGTGAAGACTCTAGCAGAGAACTGAACGCAATGGAGACGCACGGCTGAAGCCCTATGTTCCTCTAGGAATTAAAGGATATAATAATAATAATAATACTAAGGGAACAGAAAAAATCATTAGAAGACAGCTAAAATTTAAAAAATTAGATAACTACAGGATTTCTATACATTTCATGCTATGAAATTAAGAAGGGTGAGAGAGTTATAGTACGTAAGTTGCGTTAGCAAACAGTTAAGCAAATTGAAAGTCTTAAATATGCAATTAGCTCTCTGTGAGTGAAAATAACAAGATCAAGTAAATATTTTGACGTGATAAGAATACATAAAGACATTCACCAGGATGGTTCGAAGTTAACCACACTGTCTTTATGTATATAAAGGTTAGGTTGAAATTGTTTGATAGCAATAACCCCTGTAAGACGAAGAAATCAACGACATAAGAATATAACTGGGACACTGTGGTAGAGTATAATTCCATTATGGAGAAAATTTATCTGAAAAAGTCTCACAGTGTTGTACAGTAATATTTACTGATATTTTACTGTGTAACACTGTGAGACTTTATCAAAATAAATTTTTTCCATAGTGAAAACAACTAATGTTCCCATCGTTTATTTATTATCAGGAAAACCTGGATAACTTTCGCTGTGTTCCGTGTCGGTCAGTTTGTGTGGTTATTGAACTTGTACACACTTTGTCACTATTCAGATGATAGGCTACGTCCTCTTAGGCCATCTTACATACTAGTTACGGTAAGTGCATATGAATTAATTTGAAGTCGATATGAGGGTGCTTATTACCACTAACGATATTCCTAATTGTGGTGGACTGGATTATGCGTCAGACAGTGGGAAACGAGAAGACAGGGATATCCTGGACCGACGTGAAGAATCTAGAAGACCTAGATTTCGCAGATGATTTATGTTTGATGTCACACAAAATCGAAGACTTACAATCGAAAACCGACAAACTGGTCGAAGAAGCAGCAAAGACAGGACTCCAGGACAGTGAACATAGACAAGACGGAGGTTATGAAAATAACCAACCAACAACAACAACAGCAGCAGCAACATCCAGCGCCAATCACCATCAACGGGAGGGATTTGAAAGAGGTTACTTCTTTCACTTATCTAGGGAGCATTGTTTCAACCACAGGAGGAACGGACGAGGATGTCAAATCGAGAATCGGGAAGGCGAGAAACACATTCATCAACCTGAAACCAATCTGGAAATCTTCGTCACTCAACATCAACCACAAAATTCGGATTTTCAATACAAACGTCAAATCAGTCAGTTCATCTATACGAATCAGAAACTTGGCGGGTCGCAAAGAATATTTCCAACAGCCTGTTGCAGACCTTTATCAACAACTGTCTTCGTTCTATACTGAAGATCAGATGGCCGGAAAGAATCACCAACAAGAAACTATGGGAACAAACAAAACAAGAACCAATCGCCCAACAAATATGCAGGAGAAAGTGGAGATGGATTGGACACTCGCTGAGGAGGCCGCTGGGTGACATCGCGCGTCAGGTCAACGCTCGAGTGGAACCCGAAAGGGAAGCGGCGAGTGGGACGTCCAAGGGTGACATGGAGGAGATCGTGTGAGGAGGAGATGAAACAGTATGGACTAACATGGATGCAAGTGAAAAGTACAGCAGAAGACAGAAGGAAGTGGAGGCGTGCAGTTGAAGCCCTATGTTCCACTAGGAACCCAAGGGAACAATCATATATAATATATATGAATAAATGTTGTGTGCGTCAGTGGCATGGTGGCGGAATGCTCGCCAACGACGCAGGTGGTTCGGGGTCAAGGTTCAAGCCCCAACTGACGCACTCCTTAACATCGATAAGCCAGTAATAACACTGGTAAAGAGGGAAAGTTAAGGATTAGGCTAGCAACCCCATCCCGTAAACATAAATACCACTGCTACCGAAAATTCAATGCACTCGCTTGAAGCCCTATGTTCCACTGGGAACGTAAAAGGAATAATAATATATATATATATATATAACCCTTTTCTCAAACATTAAATAACCAATCCCACTAGCAAGGCCAATTGTAGAACACAGAAAATTACTCTAACAACTCGTCTCCATTTGAGGACATAAAATACAAACGCAACAGGATTATCAAACAAAAAAAATATGCCGCCATGATTACATACCGATTGTGTAGACGCAAGTAGACAACAATAGCCAGCCAAAAGTCCCGTTTGCATAGAATTATGATCATATTCGTAATCTAAAAGAAAGATGAAGATCAGTAAAAAGAGGAAAATGTGGAAACCAAACAACAACTGTAAGACCTTGTTTAACTTTCAAGGCATTGTCGGAGTGTCACCATTCGGAGCCAATATATCAACAGAGACTGAGAATTTGAGCACAGTAAAAGTATTCAACGAGAAATTACAAAAGAATTTCAATAAAATGACAATTGACACTCGTTACATAAGAGGTAGTTCTTATGGCTGGCTCAGTATCCTGGTGAAAACGATAGGTTTTAGGTCCGACTGTTAATCGGTTCACTCATAGGGGAGATTGTTTCCAATAATCTGAGAGAGGAAACAAAACGTTCTATAACCGAGCAACTCAACTGATTTATGATACACAATCATTTACAAGGAAAGAATATACTGTTTCCGACTTCTTAACATAGCAGAATACCACGTCCTATGCGCGAACAGGCCGGAACTCAAAAGAAGCTGGTTTAACTTCTGTATCTACCATTGATCTAGTTTCATTTGCTTTGACTTAGTTTTTCAATCATCTTTTCTCAGTTTGGTTATAAAAGCTCGTTTCATTGTGTTTCGATGCATATCCAGAAAACAACTATTTTTCGATAAATTACTTAAGACACTCTATAACCACATTTCTTAATTCTTATAACTTGCGGTTTCATTCTCTTTGTCACTAATATTTATCCCTCACCTTGACTTACAAATTTTCATATCACGCTGAGAGAAAAATAAATGTCCTTTAAATTTCGGTCCTACAACCATGTCCCATTACATTATATTTAAAACAGTCCTAGGAAAACGCGTAAAACTGAAATTGTACGCCTCATGATGTAGCGGTTAGCGTACAGGACTCTGAGACTAGTATCCCGCGTTCACGCTTCAGCAAGACCAAGAGCCAAACATTCTGTACTTCGTTGATTCAGTAGTAGAATATTCTTCAACAACGCAAGTGATCCTGGTTGGATCCCACCACCCCAAACAACGACGCACCCCTAAAATCCTGCTTAGTCGGTGACTGACTGACTGGTTTTAACATACAACTTTGCATATATGTGCAGCAGTTCGAGTCGCCACACTTCACTCAACACACAAAGCAAGATAAGAAAGTTAAAAGAAATTCAAAAGAGAGACAGTAAACAGAGATATGAGGCGAAAACAATAGTTATATCGAAGAACCATATAGTTTTATTGGATATTATAAGTCACAAAGAGTGGATGCATCTGCGCTATGCATTGAGAACGATTTTGAGCCATATCGCCAATTGTCTCCAGCCTTCATTGGATCCTATCATCCCGAGGACCCCAACCAACTAGGCAGTCTACACATCCCTACGTGGCCAGCTGAAACTGACTGTTATGGATTTCATTGACTGATGAAACCCTGTTTTTGTTTGACCACCACTGGCTCTTTTCCAACCTGATCCATCCGATGTCAGCTAACATTGCCCATTGTCAAGGAAGATGATGGCTAGGCATACGTAACACATGAGTTAACCATCTCAGTCGATGTAACTTCACAGTCTCGTCTACTGATTTCTCCTCCTTACCTAGCGCTCAACCGAGACCTCACCTCAATATTGCTCACTAACCTATTATACCACTTAACACCTAAGATCAAAAACAGCTAACGAACCTTTTCATGTCTTCCACTTTCAATGCTTAGATGGTAGCAAGCTCGGATAAGAGGAAGTATTGGATGTGTGGCTAGCAACGCCACCTCGTAAAAAGAAAAACAATACAACGGTTACTGAAACTTTAAAAGCTTTAACCCAATGCTCCACTCAGAATGAAAAACGTAGATAGAGAGAGAGACAGGTTTTGAGAAGGAAATCGAAGAAAAAGATCTTTGCAGCGATTCTGTTTTCCATCTAATATCCTGAGGAGCATTCTCCTTATTTCCAGTAATCTTTTTCCCAGAATGACACTTGTAATTTAGATAATTCGACCAACCAGCTTCACAGACAGAGAACCTTTAAACTATTTATATTCATTAAATGTCAATGCAAAGTATAAGAGACAATGTCATTTATCAATCTGGTAAATGTGGGATATGTATGTATCATATAAAGTCTTGTTATACTATCTACCTTTGTAGCCAAAGTGATGTATAATAGGGATCGGAACGAGCGACTAATCGACGGCCCTTTTTACCAATAATACGAACATACTGACTTACATAGACGTAGTATAATACGCCTTGAATAGGTCAAGTTAGGTGTGCTCCAAGAATGTAATTTAGTGCTTATGTGGTCATGACTAACATAGTATAACAAGCTTCCATTTAGGAAGTTGCTTGTTACAGCTAACTAAACACTTAAGACGTAACCTTAACTGAACACGTTTCCACATAATTAGCCCGAGAAAAAAGGCCATTTGAAGTTCTTGAGTCAATAAAAACTAGCTGTCTCTAAAACAGAAGGGGAAGACGTCTCATGCAATTAGGCAGAAGTATAAGAGATGAAATCTTTTAACTCCTATGAGGTGTAAATTCTCAATTCTTCACCAGTGTAACTTGATAATTTAGGTAAGAAAATGATGAACTACTTGTAAGTAAGTAGGTTAGTTCGTGTAACAAAAAATATAAAATTTGATATCAGTTAAAGAACTATTGAAAACTACGAGGAAGTACTGGGCAGGTGTCTCGTCCTAGTTTGTGACTACAGGGATTCGAACCCACGACCTTCTGGTTACAAGTCAAGCTCTCGGACCATTCAGCCACTCGAATCTGACTCAATGATCAGCCCATGAATTCTAACTTCGACTGATAGTGGTATAATAAGGTGAGCAATATTGAGGTTAGGCGTCGAGTGCTAGGTAAGGAGAGGAAATCAGTCAACGAGACTGTGAAATTACACCAACTGAGATGGTTAGGACATGTGTTACGTATGCCTAGTCATCGCCTTCCTCGACAATGGGCAATGTTAGCTGATATAGGGTCAGGTTGGAAAAGAGCTAGCGGAGGTCAAACGAAAACATGGCACCAATCAATGAAATCTACAACAGTTAATCTAAGGCACGTAGGAAGATGTAGACTTCCTGGTTGGGGTCCTCGGGACGGTAAAAACCAATGGTTGGAAACAATTGGTGACATGGCTCAAAATCGTTCTCAGTTGCTTGTGCGGATGCATCCACTCCTTGTGACTTATGATTTCCAATGAAACTATATTGTTCTTCGTTATTACTATACCTTTGTTTCACACAACTGTTTACTGTCTCTAATATGCATTTCTCGTAATTTCATCTCTTGCTTTGTGTGCTACATGGAGTGTGGCGACTTGAACTGCCGCACATATGTGCAAAGTTCTATGTCGAAAACCAACCGACCGACCGACTTCGACTGATGTGTGATTTCAGCGCAACTGACACAAGCCAGTGTCATCGGTGGTGAGTATTTGACCTCACTTCCAACGAGACGGATCCTGCTGGTCACGACTTCTCACTGGAACTCCAGTCAACTTTGTTTTGAAGCCAGTCACTAGTGAGCATCAAATTAATTTTCAGCGGTTAGTTTGTAGAGATTTGATTTTGGTGGAAGTTACAATTCATCGGCTGCCCTTTGGATCGCGTCCCAGTGTTTGAATGAACCTGAGTTTGAACCCTTATTGAGTGCATACTGCCGATGTTTTCCAAACTAGAATGAGACAACTGTTTAGGACTCCTTGGTGGTTTTCAATGGTTCTCTAACTGATATCAACCCGTGATCAAACTTTGAACAGATGAAATGCTGACAAACTGACTCTTGAAAAATATCAAATTGAGATAAATAATACGTTGTTGTTAGATATATATTCATTTGTAAGTACTAACATTTATTTAATCTTATGAAATATGAAACTTACTTCCATGTTCTGTTGGCTTCATTAACTTGACTTTAAAATGTGGTGCAATAAGATGCGTTACAGCATCTGATTTTAAGGCGCTACCAAGTGAAACAAGAAATCGGCATATTGCGAAGCAGACTTTAAAGTTATTCGACTGTAATGATTCCATACACGGATATGCAAAGTATTCATCATATTGATGCTAGAAAAAATTATGACAAAAAAATACAGTTGGAAACGATGAAAAGCATTTAAGATGAATAATTATTTCGTTTGCTTGGTGAAGCTTTTAAAGACTGTGCATCAGGAATTAGCAAAAAAACCAAAGTGTAAAAGATAGTTTTGAATTTGTCCAAAGAATAAGAGATTTAAATGTGAATGACACATTTATGATATATTTCGATGTATCATCCTTGTTCACCAGTGTACCGTTGGTTGAAGCAGTGAATTCTACATAGGATGAGATTATTAGGCGAAATATGGACATCGGTATTTCTGTTTCCTCCATGAAGGAACTTAGTTTAAGATATACGATGAGTGTTCATTTCTTGTTCAACAAGGAATACTATAGTGAAACTGATGGCATGGCCACAGGTTCATCATTAGGTCCAGTTCTAGCTGATTTCAACTTTGCTAAGTTAGAGAAGGGACCACCGAAAGGAGTAATTAATGATTTGGAATTCTACTGTCCATATAGGGATGATACATTTCTGACTAAGACAAATGAGAATGAAACAACGAACATCCTCAACAAGTTCAATAATATGCATTCAGCGATAAACTTTATCATTGAGAGACAAACGAATGGAAGTGTTTCGTTCCTAGATATCTTTCTGACCACGAAAGATAATGCCCTAAGAATGAGTGTATGCAGAACACCTACAACGATAGGTCAGTATGCTCACTTTTTGAGTTTTTCACCTTTTAAATATAAATGCAACTTGGTAAAGTGTGTTTGGTTCATACAGCTAGGGTAATCTGCTCAAAAGACTACATCGGTTCAATTTTTTGGTGATAACATCAGCAAAATAGTAAAACAGTACCTGAAGAATGCAGTCAGAAAAGCATTCAAGGCAGCAGAGATACGCTGTCTCTTCACAACTACTCCGAAATAAGGTCAAACTACCTAATTTCCCCTTCTATGTGTGTATCTACCAGTTTGACTGCTACTGTGGAGCTAGTTACATTGGGCGTAGAGTTAGGCAGGTTCATCATTGTGTTTCCGAACATCGTCCTGAATGGTTAAGCAAGGGATCTATTCGTATCCCTGTTTTAGCACACCTTGTAGACAATGAGCATAAAGTCAATGTCAATACAGCCATTAAAGTTATTTACTGCATTCTAACTAATCTTAATTTTGCTTTGTGAGTTAGTTTTATACATACAACTGAAGGAGACAAACTTGTGTCGTCAGAAGAAATTCTCACTGCCACTTTCCTTACCATAGACATATTTACATGAATGTAAAAGCCTGACAATTTCGCCCTCCCCATAAGGTTTTTACAAGTTATCATAGTTCGAATGATTTTATTTTTATGACTACTTCATCTATAATTGCTTATTGCGTAATCCGCTTGAACACTCATTTATTCCTCAATTGCTCTTCAGTTTTTCCAAAACTATGTATTACGCAATCCACTTGTTGTAATCAATTATACCCTCTAATTGTCTGTGTTAATTTGCTTCGTTATTTATCATCCCATTGACATGTTGATACTGACTAATCACTGTTAACAAACATATCTCCACTTGATTGGTAAAATGTGTGAAAAGGAAACGGTTCTTCGCTCAACCCTTTTGTTCCCTAAATGTGTAAATAGGAATTTTTCAAGCGATTTGAACACCGTTCATCTACAGACGACTTTATCCACTCTGAATTCCAATAAAGGATTTGAATAAAATTAAAAAAAACTTATGTCTAAAGGGAACAAAATGACTTAAACAGTGCCATCGCCAGACATCTTCTTCACACGGGTCATGACGTGGACGTCGTAAAATCGTTCAAAATAATCAATAAGCAAAAGAGTTCAATTCTCCACAAGTTTGCTGAAGCCATCTCCATCAAGCGCCTGAAACCTGATTGGTGCGTTCAGAAAGAAACAGTTGTCAGTCTTTCTTTGCCTTGGTAACTGGATATTTTCACCATCTCTTTCATCTGATTACGCAATGCCGAAAGTTTCCATTGTGTATGATTATTACTGTTCATTATTATTACGTATATAATTATTGTATGCATATATTGACTGATTTTTGTTTAAAAATGAACTCTGTGCAAATATGATAAAATTGTTTCTGTTGATATACTTAATAATGACTTTGGCCTGTAAGCAGCTGATGAGAAGCCAACGAAATAAGCAATGATGGTACCAATTTATTCTGCAAAAACTGTAGCTCTCGCTTTATTCAAATAAAAAAAGCTTAGAAGTACATAAATAGTCTACTTGTTACTTAAGTTGTGACTTCAGTGATTTTCTAAAATTCTATTCTTTTGTGTTTCCCGTGGAAAATGAGGGAATAAAGCTTCAGCTTTGAAGTTTTAGTAGCAGTGATGCTTTTTTTTACAGAGTAGGATAGCTAGACTGACACTCAAACTTTCCTCTGCATTGTACTTACGACCGGCTAAACGAAGTTAAGGAGTGCATCGACCGGGTTTAAAACCCGCGACCGTAAACCATACTCACAATTTGAAAATCGGTTAGCGATTTGCGATTTACCCAGTTCTAGTAATGACATTCCACCACTCGGCCCCGAAAGAGCGAAACGACCGTCCGGTGTTTAGTTGACCTCGATCTGGCTAGCAAACACTGCTGGTTAGTATGAGTGGTATGCAACTACTCATCCAACCCCGGACCACTTGTGTGGTTGGCAAATGTTCTACCATTGGACCACCGACACACAAAATGACACATAATTACACTAATTCATCTTATTGCAAAACCCTGGTTGTGACCAAAAGGTCTCCACTGTGGACTGTCCAGTCAGAAAAAAAGAAAACTACGGATTCTGACAAAATAATCTCATTGATTGCCGATACACATATATGTAGATCACAGTGTTGTTTTAGTACAGTGCAAAGGTGACTGTACAGAGATGACAGAACAAGTGAGAACAAGTTATTCTTACTTAAATATACAAGAAAAATTTACACCACAATGACAAATCTACATTGAGAAGTATTAATTACTAATTCAGAGTAGAAAAAGAAGAGAAAAATAGAAACAAAGATGAATCAGTAGTTAAGGTGTCAGTACTAGAGAAAAATAATGAGTAGAGCGAGACTAGTATTGGCTGGTTAAATGTTTGGTGGTGGAGTTGCTGAGCGGTCCGAAAAGGCTTGGATTTGAATCCCACTTCCATCACAATCTTTGCGTCAGTGGTTCAGCAGCAGAATGCCCGTCAAACACGCACGTCATCCCCCGCTGTTCTATCTCCGGTCGAGGCACTCCTAAACCTCAGCCAGAAGTAACCGCGGTAAAGACAGAAGGCTAGGCGTGAGGCTAGCAACCAAACTCCGTAAAAAGGAACGCCATTGCTGCTGAAATTTCAAAGCATTAAGCTTGAAGCCTTATGTTTCACTTGGAATGTGAAGGAATAAAATTTTTTAATTGTTTAGTGGGATGACATCCAGTGAATGTTAACGGGAGGATAAGTTTCGCACGAACTTCACTACTGTGGCAAATAATGCGAACCATTCTGTATTACGGATGTTTCATTTTTTATTATCCATCTATTATAAAATTTCTATCCTGATTTGTAATACCTTTCTCCTGCTTCTTCTACACTGGTATTTCCATTAACGAAAAAGTTATCATTTCTTCCCTGGAGATGTTACTGTATAATAATAATAATAATTTGCTTTATTCCAAAACAGTACTTGTGATACAGAATGGAATTCTCAGCATTTCACTACAGTATTGCATTCAGTTAGTACATGAACAATAAATAAAATTCTACATAGATTAAGGGTAATCTCAGTTAGTTTTGACAACAATATATTGGCATGTCGGTAGCAAAGCCAAAATTGAACAGTGTTTGAAGGTGCTAGAAAAGTAGATACCAGCATATTTACTGGCATAAGGGGTAACAAAAAGGTCGAGATATACAGAGTGTGAAAGAACGAAGAAGAATTTTTTAATAGAGTTTGTATGGAAGAAAGAAACAAAGCAGCACATAACAGAAAAAAAAGTGAAAAGGAAAAGAAAGAAAACGTTGTACCTATAAATAATATGAGTTGGAAAGACGAGATACAGTTGTTCTACTGACTATTTCATAATGTAACGACAGAAAACAAGAGCCAGGCAACAGATGGTTTATTGAGAAAATCAAGAGATAATGATAGATTTTTATGCACATTATTATTAGCGTTATTGTTAGCGGAGAAGCAACCTCTTCTGATTGGTCGTTCTCTTGCTGAAGGTTATTCTATCATCTCTTTGTGGACGTTTCTCAGAAAATCAAGCCATATATCTGCGAATCATATTTCTACATATTAACTCCGCTGCAATTGGCTGGTAAGTTCCTCAAGGTTAAGCTTTTTCATTGTTTTTTTTCTCATGACCCCGATTCGGGACGTAAATTGTTGTTTACAATTTTGGCTTGCAGACAACTCTCACCACAATAACAATTATATGCCTTTGAAGTTTAAACCGAGTTATTTGGTTGAAAAGCTACATTTTTTATTTCATTGCTTAACCGGTACATCATCAACTTTTACAAGCTGAAGAAATCCTCAATTTGAATCGTGTTATAACTATGGTTTCATCTTTTTTCTATGTATTGAAATTCCAATGACCAATTTGGTTAGTTAGTGTGCGTCGGTGGCATAGTGGTTAGGACGCTTGCCGACAATGCACATGGTCCGGGGTTCGATCCCCGGCCGACGCACTCCTTTACCTCGGTGAGCCAGAAATAACGCTGGTGAAGAGGAAAGGTTGGACATGAGGCTAGCAACCCCACCCTGTAAAATAAGCACTGCTACAGAAACTTCAAGCCACTAGCTTGAAGCCCTATGTTCCACTGAGGAACGTGAAGGAAAAAAAAACTACTCAGAAAAGAGTTCGCACGTAACAAGCTATTATTGTTATTATTCCCATAGGTTCCGAGTGGGACATAAGGCTTCAATGGTACATCTTTATTTGGTGCTGGTCCTCTTTAGCTGGCTCTACGGTTTCCCATAGGCTGTCATCTCCTCACCACAAGTTCTCTTCCATTTTACTGTCTGATCTAAACACATCTAGTATTTTCCCATTGAGGTTCCACTCGAGGGATGGCCTGGCGCGCGATATCATCTAACGGTCTGCTTAGCGTGTGTCCAATCCATCTCCATTTTTTCTTTGTCATGTTTGTTGGGAGAGAGGTTCTTGGTTGGTTCATTTCCAGAGTTTCTTCTGGCTAATCCTTCCTGGCAGGCTATCTTATCTTCAGCATGGAGCCACCTTAAGCAGCTGTTGATAAACATCTGCAGCAGTTTGTTGGAAATGCTCTCCATGATACGTCAAGTCTCTGAAACATAAGGAAACATAAGTGACTGACTTAACATTGGTGTTGAAAATCCGAATGTTGTTCTTTATGCTGTAGAGTGCAGAAGATTTCCAAACTGATTTCAGATTGCTGAAGGTCTCCCTTGCTTTTCCGATTCTGGCTGGTTTTGATATCGCCATCCATGAGGCGTTACTGTAGTTGAAACGATGATATCTCGATAAGTGAAAGAAGTGACCTATTCCCAAATTATTCTGTTGATAATGATTGGTGCTTGTTGTATTTGGTCGGTGGATGCCTTCATCGTCTCAGTCTTCTGTATGTTCACTTGAAGTCCTGTCTTTGTTGCCTACCTCTTCAGTCAATCTGCTGGTTTCCGCCTGTTGGAGTTTTGACATTAGACATAAATCATCCGCGAAGTCTATATCTTTTTGAGTCTTCCTATTTGTTCCCGCCTTCTCGGTTCCCACAGTCCATCACAATCAGCAATATCATTGGCGATAAAAGTTAGTCTTACTCACTCCCGTCTTCACTTCATACGTTTCGTTGAGTTTTCTTGTCTAAATCACTTGACATGTTGCATTGTCATATAGGTTAATGAAGGTTTAGGTAATCCAAAGCAGTTTCCAAATTACTTCACGGTCAACTCTGTCAAAGGATTTTTCAAAGTCAATCAAGTTGATGTAGAGATTTGACTGCCATTCTCTGCATAGCCTGTCCTATGGTGATGCGTAGAATTACAGTTTGGTCCACAGATGACTTGCTTTTCCTGAGTTCAGTTTGTTCCAGGCAGAGTTTTGCCTCCGGAGTCTCTTTCAGTCTCTCCAGAATGACGTGACTCAGTATTTTGTTTCGCGAGCACTACTCAGAGCTAGCGTTTGCAAAGTAGCCATTGTTTCAACCTGTAAGTATCTTTCTTTCCTCCCGAACATCCTGTAGTAGTGGCATGAGGATATCCGCTGACATCTCTAGATCCGACTTCAGTGCTACCAAGGGAATCGCGTCTGGTCCTGTTTACTTCATGGCGCTCAGCAGCTTAATGGCATTCAGAACTCCTGCTTTTGGAGGAGGATTGTCGATCACTAGCAGTTTTGTCCCTGTTTGTTATTGGTATTTCTCAACGAGCTATGAATCGTAGTAGGTTCAGGAGACCTTTGAAATGATTAGTCCATTGTTTCCTTCTCTTCACACTTATTGTATGAAAGCTGATAACGAAGGCGATCAGTGAGGCTGAAACAAATTGAACAAAACTCGAACCTACTGGCTATAAGTCACATCACTTAAGAATATCTTACTTAATATAATTAATTAAATTACAATATAACACGATGAAAGTTACCTTGATTACATCGTCAAAACAACAGTTCTCATAATCCAAATCAAGAAACGCTTTCATTGTAGAACAACGACCACTATCACGACAATATGGTAACTGTTCTAATAAAATAATTAATTTTGATATTAAATGTTTATCCAACCACTGTTTTGCTATCCATTTATCTATAGAATAAGTATGATTTTGATAAAAGGATTGTTCTATGCCAACAGATTGATGCACTGTTGATGATGTAGGCGTTGGTGGAATGGCTGGAGTTGAAGTTGTTGCTTTATCTGACTGACAGGCATATTTCAACATTTCTTCTAATAAATTACAACTATCCTGTCCAAGAATCATTGACGTACTGATTGAATTATATGTGGATGTTGGTTTGACTAATTCAGTCTCTGTGGATAGAATAAAGAGATGATTAGAGTTAGGTATTATTTAAATTACAAACCAACTATTGGATGTTCACACAGTAGGAGGACATTTCAAAAACACGGTAGTCATCATATTAAACGTGATCCCGATTAAAGTGAATCAAATTATAATGCATAATCTCATTTCAAACTACAGCCTCACCAGAAAGTAGGAGAGAAGTAACATTATTATAATTATTAGTTATGCTCAAAATAAAGTGTTAGCGCGTTTGTAACAGTTGAATAGGACTGATTATTTGTGATTTCCATATTTTTCTTATCATTATTCCTTTGGGTTCCAAGTGGAACATAGGGCTTCAACAACACATCTCCACTTTCTTCTATTTTCTCCCGTCTTCTTCAGCTGGGTCCACGATTGCCCATAATCTCTCATCTCCTCCTCACACGGTCTCCTCTATGTCACCCTCGCACTGACGATCCACTCGTCGCTTCCCATTGGGATTACACTTGAGCGATCGTCTGCACTGGGCGTGATGTCATTCGACTCAAGGCATGCTCCTCGATCCATCTCCACTTCCTCCTACATATTTGTTGAGCGATCGGCTCCCAGTTGGTTTGTTTCCGGCTAGAGTTTCTTGTTGCTAATTCTTTCTGGCCATTTGATTTTCAGTATCGAGCCACGGAAATCAGCTGTTGATAAACGTCTGTAAGCTGTTGGAAATCCTTTTCGTGACGCACAGTGCAAGTTTCTGACCCATATAGAAGAACTGACTGACTTCACGTTTTTGTTGAAAATCCGAATCTTGTTATTTATGCTGAGTTAGTGCAGAAGATTTCCAAACTGATTTCAGGTTAATGAAGGTGTGCGTATCTTGCCTGTCCGATTCTGGCTGGCTTTGAAATCTTCATCCGACCCGAGTGTCTGTGGTTGAAGCCGTGCTTCCTAGATAAGTGAAGGAGGTAACCTCTGTTAAATCTCTCACTTTGATGGAGATTGGTGCTGGTTTTTGTTGCTGTTGGCTGGTTATTTCCATCACCTCCTTCTTCTCTATGCTCACCTGAAGTCCTGTCTTCGCTGCCAGCCTCTCCAGCCAGTTTGCTGCTTTTCGCCTGTAAGTTTTCGAGTTTGTGTAACATTAAACATAGATCATCTGCGAAATCCAGATCTTTTAGAGTCTTACTATCGGTGGTCCAGCGTATTTCTGTCTTCTCGCTCCCCACAGTCTGACGCATAATCCAGTTCACCACAATTAATAATATCATCGATGCTATTTGTGGGCAGCCTTGCCTTACTCCTGTATGCACTTCGAACGCAATTCTTAAATTAGGGGAAAAGTACTATCAGTACGCATAATTATATAATGTGAGACCGGAGCTGAGAATTATAAGAAAAAACAACCATGCAAGAGGTGGGCAGATTTATGATCACGAGACTAAAGACTTCATCATTTTACTTTGCCTGGTGATGTCCCAGTAGCTTAAAAAAAGTAGGCAGATACGAATAAAATAGGCGACGATGAGTTTCGTAAACGGTGAATGCCCACAATGCAATGTTTAAATGTAAGAAAATAGGCATATAAGCGGTTGAACTGTTTTTGTATCTAATCAGTTAAGGAGGTTGATTGCAATACTCAGGACAGACATAAGAAAATCATAGTCTATAACTAATACATTTTTTTAACTTTCAGTCAATAGGATCACAGTTCGAATCCTTACTCTGCTTAATTCAGTCTAGACAGCTGGCTAGTATCATCTGTTCTCATACAAAATATGCATGGTCTATAGTCTAGTATATAAGAAGTATGCACCGGGAAACTCTGTACTAGCTAACTTCCATCTAATAGTTTGAGGTGTGACTGTAGACACTCTTACGACTGACGCGTCCCCTAAATTTTACTAGAGTCGGTGAGTATGGATTTAGTCAACGGACAGTGTATTATTATCATTATTATTGCCTTGGGTTCGAAGTGAAACATACGGCTTTCACAGAACATAACCATTGTACTTGTTGCGCCCCACATTCAGTTTTAACTGGTCTTCAAGGATGACCATAAACTTTCATTTCTTGCTCAAATGATCTTTTCCCTCGGACACCCAACCCGTCAATTCCCTTTCGCGTTCCACTTGAGGGTGTAGCAAGTGATTTTACTTAACGCCGTCCCCCACCCCCTAGAATATGTGCAACTCATCTCCATTTTTCCCTGTATACTTGTGTTAAGTGTAAGATTTTTGGCTATTTTGCTGCCCTAGTTCCTTATTGCTTGTCCTTTCTAGGGAGCACCTTGATTTTCAGTATTCACACAGCGAAAGCAGTCCGCTGAAAATGTCACTAGTGAAGCACAGTCTAAGTCTCTGAATCATATAAGAGCACTGACTTCACATTAATATTGAAAAGTCTTATCTAAGTGCTGTGGATCAGCACATTAATAGCGGATCAGTGAATGCCAGTCTTGATTACCCGGTTAGCTCACAGCTTTGACATCCTCTTCCATAACGCTTGTGGCTGAAGGAATGTTGCCCAGAGAAGTGGAAGCATTGAATTCTTTCCGATTCCCCCCACCTACCTCCAATTAATGATGATTAGTGTTTGTTGTTGGTGTCTCTTGTCAGGCATCTTCATCACCTTTGACTTGTCTATGTTCACTTGATAGTCGATCTTCACTATCTCTCTTCGGTCAACCTATTGGTTTCTGGTTGTAAATCTCCAGCTTTGTGTGACATACACATTCCATTAAATCGAGACATTCGAGGGAGTTTTTTTATAAGTTCAACATGTGAACGTTTTCTCCCCTAGTTTATTGAGCTGGTCCTATGCCCGGGAAAAACCCCGCCTAGATAACTAGCTCGATAGTTATGGACTAACATGGACGCAGGTGAAAAGTACAGCAGAAGACAGAAGCAAGTGGAGACGTGCAGTTGAAGCCCTATGTTCCACTAGGAACCCAAGGAAACAATAATAATAATAAGCCCGGGAATAAAGAGAAGACTAGGGATGGCGGATGGTGATTTTACCCCTCAAAATTACCCTTGTCGGCTACTGAAACTCCGAAGTATACAAAATAAACGGTTTGTGTACACAGATTTCTTTTGCTGTTTTTAAAAAAGATAATGGCTTACTCTTTTTGTATATTACACTACTATAATAATATTTTTATCCTGGACAGTATTTATAAAATGTACAAAATATTTAGAGGAGTTTATTGCATGATATTTCCTCTTCTTACAATATCTTCAAGTAAAATATTAACTGACAGTATATCCTGTGACACAATGACCTCTAAGCTGAAGTACAAACCATTCCGTTATTACATGTTTGCTTTGTCTCCTTCAGGAAATTCACGATATCTAGTTGAAAGCCAATTGTAAGATGTTCAGTAGCACATTTTGAGACCCGAGGACATAACTGAAGAACAGTTATCTCATATATTGGGACACGTTGCCACACACAACCAAGCCTTTCCTCAAGATTAGTAGGAACTTGCGAATCAGCAACTTGTAAGCATTTTGAAAACACATAAGAGTAGATAATACCAATAGAGGTCATATCTTAGTCGATTAAAACGAAACCGAATGAGAGAAAATGTATGCAATAGAGAGATGGGATTTTTTGGTAGCACATGTTTTAACCAGGCTACCATTGTATGAATATAAACAATAATGCAAGAAAAGTAAGACAGTACAGTTGGTAATGTACAACACCTGTAGTAAGCGATAGCACTTGGATGAATAAACATTGGTAGGTGAAAATGCTTTCGAGCACGTGAAAAAGTGCTCTTTTCAAAATGAAAACTATAAAACTCAAGTTTCGAAGTCGTGTGATTACAACTGATATAATTATGAACAATAAATTTTGTTCGAAACGTCATCCAGTAAATAATCCTGTTTCACTGTGTGATATACCTAATAAACAAACTAATATGGAATTACTTACTACCACAGTGGCCAAGTTTTACACATATATTAAAGTAAAGAACAACCTGCCAAAGGTAATACGCTTTCGTTTGCTTTGCACTGGAGAAGATTAAGCCATTCAGATAGAGAAAGTGGAGCTCAGTATGCATATGCAGGACTTCAGCTGAACATAGGGAAAATAGAGATGATGAAGATTCTTGGCCAACAGCAACAACAACAGTCGGTATAAATATGAGAAATCTGAAAGAAGCGACCTCCTTTACCCACCGACCTGGGAAGTATCGTCTCAACTACAAGCGGAAATGATGAGGATATCAAATCAAGGATCGGGAAATCAATGCAAGCTTTAATTACTCTCAAGTTTATGTGGAGAACAACAGCACTCAGTATGAAAAATAAGATCCGGATTTTCAACTCTTATGTGAAGTCAGTGCTACTTAACATACGGATCAGAGACTTGGCGCTGCAGTCGAAGGGCACTTCGAACAAACTACAGACCTTTATCAACAGCTGTCTTAGCTCAGTAGTTCGCTCAAGATCAGATGGCCGGCCAGAAAAGATCAGCAACAGGAAGGGATCTCTGGGAGCGAACCAACACAGCAGAAACCAATTATGCAACAAATATGCAGGAAGAAATGGAGGTGGATTGGCCATACTCGAAAGCAAACCATCAAGTGACATCACAACAGGTCATTGCTCGAGTGGAGCCCAAATGAGAAGCGGTGAGTTGGTTGTCAGTGCAAGGGTGAAATGGAGGAGGCTATGCGAAGAGGAGATGAAAGCATGTGGGCAGATTTGGAGCCAGGAGAAGACTCTATCAGAGAACCGAACGCAATGGAGACGCACGGCTGAAGCCCTATGTTCCTCTAGGAATTAAAGGACACAATAATAATATAGTACATACGAAATAAACTTATTATCGTCCATTTCGACTGACTTGATTTGTGTTGGTTTGATTTTGTTTTTCTAACTCTTGTATTTCTTTACAACTGTTAAGTAATTACATTTTTATCTCCCTTTCTATGAGTATCCAGGTCAAAACTCACTCATTAAATTACTCATTTTATAACGTAACTATACACTGACTAATATTAACAACTATGTTTGTGACAACTCATCACCTTTTTCTTACTACCCTCTTTTATGAAAAACACTGCATATAAATCCGATTATACAGCTAAAAAGGAGAGAATGAATTCGCCGAAAACAGCCCCTCCGATGATAAAATTATCAGCAATGATGCACCACTTAGCAATAAAAGTAAACATGATAGTTTTGTTAAAAAATGACAGTGAAAACAAAAAATATGAAGGGAGTAAATACTATGACTAACCTTTTGAGTTAAAACTCTGTTTTAATAGGTGCTCAAATTCTGAAACAGAATTATGATAGACGGAAATTAAATTCTGCATGGCTGTCCATAAGCCTTCATTGGAATTGTCAGTCTTATTCTTGACAATTATTGACAACAGTAGCCAAGCATGAAGAAATGGTGCTAAATAGTACAATATATTTAAATACAAAAGTATCATATCCGGTGCTACTTCCTTGGTATTCTGACAAGCCTAGAAAAGAAAGGGAATGAAAATATTATCGCTATTATACGGAGATTATTTCATAGAAAATATACATATAAAATTAATTCAATGTTGCGGAAATTTCCAGAAATTAGAGATACAAATCGTAATATCACTACCAATCAGCGAATAACCTTGAACGCACCAATCACATGGCAGGGCTATTTATATATTAATAATAATAACGTATAAAAGGCATAAAATTGTTACACAGGATACCTTCTCCTTTCGTGTGACAAAAGTGACTCCCAGTTTCCCACAGGAGTACTAATAGAGATGTCCAACCGTATTATATACATGTATTCATCTGAATGGCTGTGCTTCGGTAGCACAGTGGTTAGGACTCTCGCCGATCATGCACATGGTCCGGGTCCGATCCCCTGACGACGCACACCGATATCTATGGTCGGCCTGGTGAATTTGGGCTACCGATTTCCACGCTGAAAATTCCATACTTGTACTGAAAATACGGTGTGGCATCAAGCTGTAATCAAAAATCATTAAAAAAATAACCTCCTCTTGGGATCCCTTGGTGGCTTTAATCCTGTTCATCAGTATTCCTCAAAATCTCTCAGTACCACTGGTTTGGATCCCTGTAATAGGATTCACAAAATCATTAGTGTGGTTTACTCTATGGTGAATAAATTCCAGGGATGACAATTAATTATATCCCTTCCATTAATTTGTATATATTATAGATCTGGGTTGATGACACAAGGGATCTAGCACAGAATGTTTCTAAGGAATAGTGTAACCATCGGTCTATATTCCATCACACTAACTCGTCTCAACCAAATTTCACAACTGTGAATATGTCCATCAGACGGTCTATTAAAGCTTTCTCTACACACAATACATCCACAGGAACAAATTCATTCCTTGCCAATTAATCCCACATCGAAGTAATACAGGAAAATTTGGTCTACACCAAATTTCAGACGTAACTTCATTAGAGAGAGCATTCCACTTGATTCAAGTGGAATGAAAGCTTGAACTCACGTGGAGACATTCATTGGTCCACTCAAGGTCACTGGTGCGGTCGCACCTCGATGATAGCTACTGGTGCTCAACGTTTTACTTGGTTCTGAGGGAGAAGAGATGCACAGCAGACTTACGGTGGCCTTACGTGAGACTGTCTAGGTACTACTTGTTTTTAAAACCAAATTTGGTTTCGATCCGGTTGATTTAAAGCATCAATGATGAACTCCATTGTTGCATACTACACAGTTCGAGGTGAGAAATCACCACAGCTCCCTTTGGAAACTGCTTGATAAATTAAATGACAATCAACAAAGCAAGCCAAATAGCTTCATGTTATGCATTACTGATTGATTGATATGAGCATTCAGATATCACTAGATGGCTATTTCGTTCGTTTGCAGACAATCCTAACTAGCCATGTTCTCTGTTTCACTCAGCTTAGAGTGCCGAATCAATTCAAACCACCTGAATTCTGTCTAGCTGTTTGGGCGACCTGACAACATACAGAATCACATTCATCGGATTCAGGTAGCTTGAACTAACTTGGACTTCTGAGCATAGTCTAACCGAGTACGCAGCTGCTGATCTCGGCTGTGCAAAACAGACATCTTTTTGATTGCACACTAGTCAGTAACTAGTGTAATGTGTCTACAATTCACAGTGCACGGTAATGGCGAGCCACCTAGCATGGTGGCCATATTTGCTAGCTTGAATGATAGAATTCAGTCTGCAGAGAAGATAGGACTAGACACATAACACTAGTTACTGACTAGTGTTCAATCAAAAATATTCAATACAGTCCTATAGGAGGTCAGTCGCGAGCCTGAATAGCTCAGTTTTCAGATAACTTCGACCTGGTGGATATGAGTGATTCCGAACTACTCATACCAAAGTATCAGTAGTATACAGTATCACGCTAAATTTTTGGTTTATCTCCATGCTAACAAAAATCTTACAACATATACTATTTAATATCATAAAACGCATGAGAAATTGACTTACAGCAAGTATAATGGGTTACATTCAGCCCCTGAATACTTTGATTGTCTGCCCCTTCTCCATAAGTCGTTTATTGAAGGCCCAAAATGAAACATTTCTTTGTATCTAATAAATAGAGTAGTCCTTAAGAAGCTGGTCACCTATGCGCTTCAGAGAGAGTAAGCATATATAACCACCTGTCATTACTGCACTACCTAACAAGCAATGGGGCTACATAGGGTTACGCGGATTCACGGTTTCTCCCTAATTTTATCATCAATCAAATTTGAGAGGCAGCTTAGAAGGATATGAGTGTTGTAGTATATCTCTTACCTGAAGAAGCAGTAAGTGACTTTGAGTATGTGGACGATATTCTCCTACTGTGTGACAAAATACAGGTTACAGAAGTCATACTTAACCTGTTAGCGATTAGTGTGTATCCTGAAAACCAGCAGTCTAATTGAGAAGTACTGTTGGCAGGTTGGAGCAGCCTTCTTACTTAAAGAGCTAAGAATAAAACATAATTTCTCAGGTAAAATTAAACGGATTGCGTAACTGAAAGGTCTAATCACAATATTTATACATATTTCGATGTTTCAACTAACTTTGTAGTTATTATCCGTTTTTCTCCCAGACTGGTCTGACATTTGCATATCGTATGTTGACTTCATCCGCATTATTTATCTTTGTTCCTGTTTATTCTCCAATTTCAATGCTTCTCTTTGCGGTTATGTGATACATTGATAATGTGTTGTTTTACGATGTGAGTGAATGAAAGTCCCCCTGATCTTGAATGTCTGCGGGAATTCTTTGGCCTGTGACTCCTGTGGACAGAGATTTGATCCCACCTTGTTGGGAATACTCTGTTTGATTCTAAGGTAATTCTTAAAGTTGAATTATGGTTAACTAATCTTTTTCTACAGTACTTGTTTTGTACTTAGAAAATTAGCTGGACTGTATAGCTAGCTACCTAACGGCATTGTTGAGGTAATTTTGAGTTTTTGATGTTTATTTTTTTATTTTTGATTACAGCTTGATGCCACACCGTATTTCAGTACAAGTATGGAATTTTCAGCATGGATATCGGTAGCCCAAATTTTGCAGACCGACCATAGATATCAGGTGTGCGTCGGCAGGGGATCGAACCCCGGACCATGTGCATGGTCGGCGAGAGTCCTAACCACTGTGCCACTGACGCACCTTGTTCTTGTTGTTGTTGAATAGAGCCATGCATAGATCTAACGATGAATATTCGTCTATTTGCTGCTTTGGAGCGCGTTTCTCAAGGGAGTTTCGTACACAGGTATAGAGTAGGACGCAGAGATCGGTTATCTGCGTCCAGACAATAACCGGTCAGTTCTGGTTGTAGCAAACTGATAGTTTTAAAACGAGATGTTTCGCTTGTAGTTAAAGGTAATACCCAGTATTTATCACACAAACCCACACACTGTTTAGTCATCGCTTCATGCTCTTTGTGGGTACAGAACATCATAATAAGTCAATAGAAAAGTGAATTATAAGAAGTACAACTTACTAGAATATAATTATCGAAATGAATTAACCATGGATCCAATAGAATTTGATGCAATGAATCTAATTCTAAACACCATTGAGCAACTGACGGCAGGAACCAATTCATTACAGCATTGTATATTGGATTTGATGTGAGCAGTATTGAAAAGCTTTTATTTGACAAGTAGTAATTATATTGTTGTTGTTTATCATTAAATATATAAATTGTTTGCATAATAAATGAATTTAATCGACGAATGATTTGTGGCAGTTTATGTGAATCAGACATTGAACTAACTAGACAAGATAATGAACGTATACTGGCTGATAGAATGACTGGATCACGTTCTTCATCAAGACTTGACTCGATAATACTCAGCATAATTGAAGATTGTAAATGTGCCTGAGAGAAATGGAATAGAAATTGTGATCAGGATTTAAAAAATGTCAATAACTAGAGAGGGGAATGTGTGTTGAGGCTAGGCGTTGAATGTTAGGTAAGGAGGTGGTGAAGCCACATCAGTTGAGATGGTTAGGACATGTGTTACGCATGCCTGATATCAGTCCATAAATCTTTGACATTCAGTTTGAGCCAGAAACGTAGGGAGGTGTAGACTGCCTGGCTGGTTGGGGTCCTCTGGATGCTAAGAATCAATGGCTAGAGACAATTGGTGAAATGATTCAAAATCGAATTCTCAATGGTACAGATTCATTCACTGTTTGTGAATTGTCATATCCAATAAAACTCTATTGTTCATGTCCATAGTACTATTCTTTGTCCCTCACACTTCTGTTATCTATTATCTCTCATTTGAACCTCTTTTTACTCTCTTTTCTCTTGCTCTGTGTGCTACGTGGAGAGTGGCAACACGAACTACTGCACTTCTGTGCACAGTTCAATGCTGAAACCGGTCAGTCATGTGTGTCGGTAGTTCAGTGGCAAAAGTTCACCAAACAATCGCGTAGCCAGTTTTCAATTCCCAGTCGACACATTCCTAAGCTTATGTTCCACTTAGAACACAAAGGAAAGAAGCACAGATTTCGAAAGTAATTTTTCTGCAATATCAAACGAAAATCCTCTGAAATCTATAAGCTCATATTTTCCAAGTCTATTTATATATGTGATGCGTTGATGATTGAAAGTGAAACGACAGTGTGAGTCACAGTAAGTCTCGAAGTACCGGCCGCCAAATTACTAGTCCATGTGATCCATGACATCGAACTGTTAACCATGTCATTATTTCACTGACATACAGCAATAATTATCCATCATCAGTAGACAACAATCCTTCGTACAGTTTACTTCATAGATAATAGGTTTGGAATGACCAGCAAAATGTTGCTTAACAAACTTATGTGGATGAACCTACACCTCTAGTAGACCAACTTTAATTGCTAATAACAAGAACACAATCATACAAACACCGAGAGAGCGCAGTAACAATGAAGACGAGCTGTTGGTAGAGAGCTTTTTACTGTCTCAGCACAGTCTACACAAGAGAGAGTGAATTATATTGAGTAATGTCGTCTCCTGGAAAGATATGTGTGTAAATGGAAGAGCCAATGAAAACAATACTGGCAGGAAGAAGGTAGAAACGCCGAAACTACTCTAAAAAGCCACAGAAAATGATTAAAGAAAATATGCATAGTGCAGATTGGATGATATTACTTGCAAAGTGTTACATCAAAGGTTTGTGCTTCTTTTAGTGTCTAAGAGGATCTTGTTCTGTTCAGTATCACAAACCAATACATGTTAAACACGGTCCACATCCCAGGCAGAGTATCTCAGTTAGGTTATTTATTGACTTCAGGATTTCATTATGAACTAATATCGGTTAGAGGACCACTGGAAAACCTGGGAGTACTGGAGACCAGTTTTGTTGTAGCTCGGGACTCTTCATTAGTACCCATTCACAGCCAGGGTTCGAACCCAGGACCTTCTGGTTACAAGACGAGCTAGCTCGTAGACCATTCAGCCACTGGGGACCGACCCAATGACCACCCCATGAATTTCAACTTTTGACAATTCATGACATAGTGCGACCACTAGCGAATGTCATCGACAAGTATTTATCCTCACACCCAACCTGCTGTACCCCCATTGGACACGACTTCCCATTAGAACCCAGGTAACTACCTACCTGGTCACGCGTTGGCACCCCCAGGTTTTCCAATGGTCCTCTAACCGATGTCAGTTCATGATGAACTCCTGAAACCAATCAAATCCCTGCAAACCAACAAGTGAATATTTATTGGCTATTGAACTTGAATGTGCGTCGGTGGCATAGTGGTTCGGATGCTCGCCGACCATGCACATGGCCCGAGGTTCGATCCCCGGCCGACGCACTCCTTTACCTCGCTAAGCCAGAAATAACGCTGGTGAAGAGGAAAGGTTGGGCATGAGGCTAGCAATCCCATCCTGTAAAATAAACACTGCTACAGAAACTTCAAGCCACTAGCTTGAAGCCCTATGTTCCACTGGGGAACATGAAGGAATAAAAAAAAATTGAACTTGAATAGATGTAACCACACAAATATGTATGAACTATGATAAGAGGTTTTCCCAAGTGTTGGGGTTTACAGAAATTTGATTATTTCAGAGTTAGATCATGAGCAAATATCACTTAGAGAATCAGTGAAAACCGCGGTGAACTGGACATCTGCTTCATCCAAATTCGGCATAAATGACTCCACTGAGCATCAAGCCTGCAGATCAATACTTGAAAGTTAGTCTAGTGACTAACTACTGCATGAAGTCCCCACGAGAGGTCGTCAAGTGGGGTGTGAGAAGAGATACTCGTCTATGACACTGGCTGGTGATGGAGTTATATATTGCGAATTGACAGAAGTTAGAATTATTAGGCCATTGCATTCTACCCGAGTGACTGAACGGTCAACAAGTTCGATCATTGGTGGGATGCACCGCTGAAGAGTTGGAAACTAGGATGAACAGCAGTTCAGTACTCCTTAGTTTTCAGTGGTTCTCCAACCGATTTCATTTCGGGATTTAACTTAAGATATGGGCAATAGATATTGAAAATGAGAGAGTGAGACTGATGATTAGACTATGGTATTAACCTTACTTATCAGAGTAGCAAGTGACATTTATGACACTGAAGTAATAAAGTCCAATACCTTATTCATAAATATTGCGCTCTCTGTATACAGAAATTTAGTATTACTTTAAACCTAATTCCTGATACAATTTATCCCTAACCAATGAGTTACTGGAAGTTAAAAAAACATACGATTGTAGTCTCTAGGTTTACACAATTTGACAACATAAAGTACAACCGGACTTTGTTTGACCAGTAAGCGTTGTGAATAAGAATAACAATCCATCAATGCCAAATCATTGCCTTCTTCATCCAGCTATTTCAGTTGATATCAGGTTAAATTGGAAAACAGCAAGAGGTAATAAAATCAGAGCATGATATCAACCCGTGAAGTTTTTGCTGAATGATTTGCTCCCTGCAGGTTACCTGCAGATGAGGTCCTCTAGAGGCTGTTAGTAACATGGCTGAAAATCGTTCTTAATTGCACAGATTATTCTGCCTTTGTGATCTCTCAGATCCATTAGATTCTCATTATTTCCCATGTAGTTGTTGTTTTTCTTGCACATTTCTGTTTACTAGGGTTTCTGTTCATTTCTTTGTTTTGTGTGTGCTGGACTTTGGTGAGATATTCTACGTTGACAGTTCACTTCAGCGATATTAACCTCGAAAATCTTTTGTTCTCATTCACTGACAGTCAAGCTAGGCTGACACTGCTGACAATTTAGGACAGTTGACATAAGACTAATGCTAATAAGATTTAACTTTCAAATAGTTATGGTATGCAATATTAAGCGATAAAATAATGGAAAAGATTTGCAGCTCAGGTGGATGATGATGATTTTGATGGGTAGAACTCAACATATTTCCAGTTCAATAATCAGATATACGAACGCATAAAAGGAATACCAATGAGATCGCCTATATCAGGATTAATAGCTGAAGTCGTGTTGATAGTATATCGGTAATAATTAAAAGAAATGATTACGAATATAGCGAAAAATTAATAAACAACATATTTGAAGGCATTAAAATTACTAGAGAAGAAGAATCAGACAACAATATTGCACTCATAGATGTCTTAATCAAGAGAAGTAACACAGGAAATTTAGAAACACAAGCATATAGAAAATCAACACACACACACAGACAGATCAAATATGCAACTATGATAGCAATTACCCAAATACTCACAAAAGAAACTGTGTATAAACATTGTTTAAAAGAGTTCAAACACAATGTAGCACTCCGATGCCGAAGAGAATGAAAGCGAAATGCCTACTGGCTGTCTTCAAAAAGAATAAATACCATAACAGTTTTATCAAAAAGCGTTCAAACCCAAATCAAAATACCGTCCTCAAAGACCACAAGGAAATTCACTCTGAAATAATGTGTAGAATATATAGACCATTTGAAATAGACATAGCACACAAAAGTCAACCAACACAATCACTTCACTCAATATTGCGCTGAACAAAGGATCCAACAGTAAAAGGAAGTAAGATTAATACCATTTACAAAATAAATTGCTTAAGTTGTGATAAACACTACATTGGTCAAAGTGGGTGTCCCTTTCGTGTCCAAATCCAAGAACATAAATTGACTGGAAAACCGATATGTATTCTTTCATATCAATGCATGTAGACAATCAACGACACCAATTCGATTGAGAAAATGTAGACTTTCAATCAGAGAAGACACAGAAAATGTCACAGAATTCCTAGAAGCCCGGTACTCATCAGCTGAATCAACGATTAAAACAACACATTACTATTACACATCAAATTTACCAACTAATAAAAAAAAAAATCACATGACAAGAAAGTTCAAATTCCAAGTGATGAATAAAAATGATCAACTTAACAACTAATGAACGAAAAAGGTTTTCAGGAGATACAATTATATCATCATCACTCATATAGAATTCATATAAGTTCACTTTATAGAGCCTGAGGTGAAGATGTTGTCTAGAAGGACAACATAAAGCTTCACACAATTAAATCAAACAGCTCAGAGACAACAACCAAATCAGGAACCTCAAGTCTCCTCATCATATAGTACCCAACAGTAAAATACAAAAACACCGTCAATGGATAACTTTCAAACTAACCGGAAGGTGTGGAGCAATCACTCCACATGCAGATACTAAAAGAAGTCTTCGAGAAGCATCAGTTGAACATTTGTTAATTTGCAACCATAGACTTGGTAACAATTCACCTTCCAGACGGGCAGGACCTAAAATAAGATGCAGTGAAAACAGCATTGATAGAATATTTCATCAATACAAATCCTACAAAATTGAACAATGACCTCGGTTAATAATCTAGACTGATTTAAAACTTTGAAGTTATTTCTGTTTTTGATCTTGATTAGCAGGTAGAATTCGAGAACCCTGTTTCGTTCTATCTTCGGCTCATCATCTGGATATGCCTGCATCTCCACCAGGTGCGTGGTTGTGTTGTCATTGAAAGTTCAACACAGCGTCCTCCGTTTAAAAGATCGAAGCCCTATTCACTAGGTTATTGAGCCACTAGAGCCACTTGTTGCACAACTAGTATGATTTGACATTAGGCATGATTAAGTCATAGAATCTTGTCGTTCTTGACTAGCTTTCAAGTGATCCTGTATACACAGGTATGAAATGGTTTCATACAGTAAACTTCTCAATAATATTGAGATTAAAATAGGGACGCCAAGTTGGACACAGACGTGGTGATCACACAATCTCACTAGACTGACACCAACAACATAATAACGACAGCCACCTGCCCCCCAGCCCGCTCTACTCAAGCTACAATACAACGGCGTGAGTCGAAATGTGCATTTCAGTATCAGCCACAGTACATTTTACACAATAACAATGTATGATTCAAAAAATCACCAGGGTTATGTAAATTCATCTGTAATCATGATCAATAAGATAGTGGGTGTTATTATACGTAGGCCAAATCTGATTGGTTTATTTTCAGCTTGACCTTGATCGATATATCGCCGATAAAGAATAATTCTTTGATTGGACACTTGTTACAAACTAGTGTAATGTATCAAGTCCTTTGTTTGGTGCATGTGCAAGGCTTCCCTGCAGATTGCCTCCAACCATCTAAAGGATAATCCGTTGCATACCTGTCTACATATCTCAAATTCACTTGGTGTAGAAACTTCTCAGAGTTCTGAAGTATTTAATGATGAAAGAAAAGTCAGCGAAGACAATTTTCTCTATCAATGAAGTCATCTTCAAGGGCTAAACACCATCGTATTTGTTTGACAGCCTATTACTGAGACACAGAGAGATTTGATAAAATGGATACGGTGGTTTCCAAAACAACGAAACAATCGAAGGGTTGGGAATTTTATAAGATGAAAATTGTTAATAAATGAGAAGCGAGGTGGTTGAGTGTCCCACTCGAAATGCTCTCATGTGGCCACAATTCTATAGCCTCGACCAAGTAAGTCTTATTCACTACCTTCACGCGGTGGGTGTGTTTCTCACGAAATCGGTAGGTTGATGCGAACATCTGGCGCATGTAAGTCTAACTACGGGATCTGGAAAACCCTGATTCCGAACCTATGGCGTACATAGGCTCCAGAATCCGAAAGCCACAAATGGTGTAGGTATATGTTTTGGTCACCGGAAACCATGGGAACATAGCTCCTGATGCTGCTTCACTATCTGGTGTACCAGACTTGAAGTCACATACTCGAGGGGGTGGCCGTTTAGGACAACCACCACCAACTTCGCCCTGGGCGTCCGGGCGGTTTCTCAACCTTCAGACAAACTATGAGATTTTGTGTGGTGCATGTCTCGGTGCCTGTAGTATACCAAGTTTGTGTTTTAATAACATTATGTACCACCAAGCAACCTTTATCGTAACGCTTGACAGTGCTATATAGTGGTGGTAGGTGTTCCTATAATCTGGAAATAATTTAAACACATATCTCAATGTCACGTAGGAATGGGAAAGAAAGAAACATAACAAAGAGAATTGACAATGCAACTGACATCAACTCATGATCAAACCTGTAAATAATCAAATCCCTGAAGATCAAACTTGATAACTAATCTGATGCTCACTGGGGACTGGCTCTATGCAGGAAGTTACCTGGAGTTCTAGTGCGAATTCGTAACCAGTGGAGTCCACCAAGTCAGTTATGAGGAGAACAGTTACTCGCCTATGACATTAGTTGGCGGTTGTCCTATATATATATATATATATATATATATATAGGATTGGATTGGGTAACTGCTTTTAGTCTAACTGCTATCCAAACAACCTTTCTGGCATGGTAGGACCTGCGGGAACATAAGTTCCAGCCAGTATAGCTTGTTGGGTCATTGCAGTGTTCAAGCCCGACCGGGCGACTTGTGGCGACTTGAACTGCTGCACATCGGTGCAAAGTTCTATGTTCAAACCAGTCAGTCAGTCTAACATCAAACAGAATGATCAAAAATACACAGTATTGTGTTGCTAACGCAGTATTGAACTGTGGGAATATATGAGAATAATATTCCGTTGGAACATGTCTGTATCACACCACCACAAGGTTAAACTAAGTGATTTAGTGAAGAGGCTATTTTTGAACATCAAATCACTTTTCACCAATGTCCCACTTACGGAAACTGTCCGTTTTATGTGTGTACATATAGACAATGACAAGTTCAACATTGGAATACCAACAGTGTATTTGAAAGAACTGCTGTTGAGATGTACTCTCGATGTACAGTTCACATTCAATGACATCGGTTACGGACAAAAAGATGGTATTACAATGAGATCTCCCTTGGATCCATTATTAATAGACTGCTTCATGGCTGTCCATTAAGGTCGACAATTGACGATTTCAAACTGTACACAAGGCTCGTCGATGACATTTTCATCATTTGCAACAGAAGATAGGACCACAATTAAATCCTACAAGTATTTAACAACTGTCATTCGGTAATAAAATTCACTCTATAAATGGAAAACGAATCCGAAATCCCCTTTCTTGATATGGAACTAACAAGAAAACCTAACGGAACCTTAAGAAGGTCAGTCCACAGTAAATCTACTTGGAAAGGTCAACTAACAAGTTTCTACACTTGGGTGCTTTATGGACGAAAACAAAATTTAATTATATCCCTTGCCACTCTGATTCGACATGGCATCTGTAGTCCTGACGCCTAAGTAGCAGAAGTAGATTTTCTGAAAGAAACCTCCATCCAAAATGGATACCCACCAAGATTCATTGACAAGAATATCGAACCAAAAGTTCAGAGGAACAACCCACTAGCTGTTCCAAAAATGTGTAAAGAAAATGAATGCGCCGAAAAGAGACTCTTCGCTGAACGACTTGTTTGTCTTTCGTTTTTTCTGGATGGGGACTCATTCATGAATTATGCAAAAGAACAGAGAACAAGTACACACATAATATTACCAAATACGACATTTATACACTTACCTAAATATGATGCTAATAATCCCAGAGCATTTAATATATGCTTAGAGTATTCATTATGGCTACTATTATTACTGTTGCCAGTATTATTGTTATTATTGATGATATTACTATTATTATTATGATTATTAATGCTATTGTTCACTGAGGTAGTTGATTCATAATTCATACTTGTTAAATTTGGTAAATTAAAATCAAAGTAAATTTTATTGTCAATTAATGAAGGTGAGTGTAATAATGACGAGGTTGATGTTGCTGAAGTTGATGAGAAAAAGTCGAATAACAAGCCTAGAAACCGATCACGTACAGAAGAATTCGGATGTAGACAAATTATTTGAACTAATAAGGGTAAAAATATCTGAAAAGAAATAAAGAAAGTACAAATGGTTAACATATGTAGAAAAAAAAGGAATGTGATAAGCAAATGAAACAATATTTTGATTAGACACCAGTTAGTATCCACTGTATCATGTATCCACTGCTTTGTTTGGTGCAGACTAAGTTCTATCAGTCAAAGTTTGCAGTGTGGCCAGCATTCTAGGTAGCTCACCATCACAGACCACTTTGAATTGTTGGTATCGGATAATTGGAAGCGATCGGCAGGAAGCCCCGTCTGACCTAGATTTCGTACTAGTTGGCACTCACCAGTCAGCAAGGTCAATCGCGAGCTAAAATAACGCAGTGATAGCGTCTGTGAATGGGTGACACGGGTTCGAATCCCAGGAGGGACATGAGTTTCTTCAAGGTTGCATATACGCCTTGCTCACTGATGAGTGCCAACAAGTACGAAACCTAGGTACAAGGCTTCTTGACGCTTGCTTTTAACCGTCTAATAACAAAAAATGGAACAGTGCAACATGAAGTGAATCATAATCTATTTAGTTTACTGCCTGAGTCTCTAAGCTTGACAGTGAATGACGTGAGTTTGAATCAAGGCCGTGGGACATCAAAATCCATAGTTCAAGTGATTGTTGAGGGCTAAATAAACACTTATGCCAAACTGTTAGAACACAAATTTCTCATGTAGTAGACTAAACACCACATGCTTGGTATGTGAGGGCTGATGATACCACCAAGCTACTGGAACAGGTGGAGCTAGATGTTTGGAAAATCACTCCTGAAAGATCTAATCACAATATTTATACTCATTTGGATGTTTCAACTAACTTGTAATTATTATCCGTTTTTCTCCTAGACTGTTGTATATCACTGTTCTGACATTTGCATATCAAATGTTGACTTGATCCTTTGTTTTATCGATTATTTCTCCATGATTTGATCCCTATTATTTGTATATGCATCTGTTTGATCTCTGATTTTAATGGTTGTGTGATGATATTAATAATGTGTTGTTTTACAACTATGATTTTCTTTGGGTGAGTCAAGGTCACTGAGACCTTGAACTGTCTGCGGGAATATTTTAGCGTGTGGTCGTTGCTGACAGAGTTTTGATCTCACCTTACTGGGAATATTCATCTTGACTCTCATCTACTTCATGCAGTTGATTTTAGTCAAATAATTCTGTTGCATAGTACTTCCTTTGCAACAGAGATCTAATTTGATCTGTATAGCTGCCCAACGGCATTGTCGAGGTAATTCCCAGTTAAATGTTACCCCTGATTTTGTCAGAAATAACTGCATTTTTGTTGTCGTTGGGGCATTTTGTGACTGTGAGCAACTCAAGGAAGTTTTGATCAGCTGTACAGTAGAACGCAAAGATTGGTTTCCTGCGTTCACGTCGGTCTTGGTCACTACACTGGATTCAAGCGAGAGACCCGCCAACTTAAAGTCGAGTGCTTAAGTCACATTAGCACTAAATGTAAATCAATTCTTTCGCTGAGCATAAGTAATACATGACGTACACGGCTCAGAAATCGCTCACACCAATCGTGCCCCGATAACGTAAGCATCACAGAAGGTAGTTCACCATTCGTCTGGCATCAATCCTTCATTTCTGAAAACTGATTCCATTCAAAGCTAGGCAATTCATTTTGGCGAGCTAGTGTGACACATCAGTTAAAATGAGTTGCTTGCAAACTACACAGTTAGAAGTAAGGTTTACACCAGTGTTTTTTTTTAAATGGACACTTTTTTGAGCACTATTTAGCTGACAAGAAAAACGACCACTCAAAGCTTCTCGCTTTCTTATTGTTTCTTTCTAACTAATATCATTTCAACACAAAGTACACATTTGTAAAAAATCAAAGCAATCTATTAGTAGGCAAACAATCATAGGACAGAGTACAGAATGGCAGTCAAATCTCCACTTCACCTTAATCGACCATGAAAAGGCCTTCGACTGCATTGACCATCAAGTAATTTGGAAACTAGTTCAACACTACGGAATGCAGTGCCTGTAAACCTTTATCAATCTCATTCAACAACTATATGACGACGTCACATGTCAAGTGATCCACAACAGAAAATTTAGTGAAGACAAGAGTAAGAACAAGGCTGACTACTATCACCGGTGATATTCCTAATAGTAGTGGAAGCGATTAAGCTGAAGACTGGACACGGGGAATGACAAGTCAGGGATACGTTGAGCTGACAAAAAGACTCTAGAAGATCTGAATTTCGCTGATGCTTTATGTCTAATGTCACATAAATTCGAAGACTCACGGGCGAAAACCAACAAATTTGCAGAAGAAACAGGCAGCGAAGAGGTGATTTCAAGTGGAGATAGAGAAGACCGAGGTGATAAAGATACCCACCGACTAACAAGAAAAAGCACAAATCACTATGAAAGGGTGGGATTCGAACGAGGTCACTTCTTTTACTTATCTTGGAAGCACCGTTTTAACTACAGGAACGCTCCACAGATGACCATGTCAAAAGCAGCTAGAATCGAAAAGGCAAGGGTCAGTCGGTCGGTTTTCGACATAGAACTTTGCACATCTGTGCGGCAGTTCAAGTCGCCACACTCCATGTAGCACACAAAGCAATAGAAGAAAGTAGAAGAAATGCATATTAGAGACAGTAAACAGAGGTGTGAGACAAAGGAATAGTAATAACGGAGAACAAAACAGTTTAATTGGAAATCATAAGTCACAAGGAGTGGATGCATCTGAGCAACTCCGAACGATTTTGAGCCATGTCACCATTTGTTTCCAACCATTGGTTTTTACCGTGCCGAGGACCCCAACCAGGAAGTCTACATCTTTCTACGTGGCTTAGACTAACTGTTGTGGATTTCATTGACTGGTGCCATGTTTTGGTTTGACCGCCGCTAGCTCTTTTCCAGCCCGACCCTATATCAGCTAACATTGCCCGTCGAGGAAGGCGATGACTAGGCATACGTAATACATGTCCTAACCATATCAGTCGATGTAATTTCACAGTCTCGTCGATTGATTTCCCCGCCTTACCTAGCACTCGACGCCTAACCTCAATATTGCTCACCTTATTATACCACTTCACGCGGGAGATAGAACGCAGACACCTATGATCAAAGACAGGTAATTTTTTCATGTCTTCCACTCTCAATGGCCAGGTCTCACAGCCATAAAGGAGGACGGAGTGGACTGTTGAGCAGTACACACGCCCTTTGGTCGATAGTCGGATATCACGTCTACGTCAGAGACGGCGTAAACTGGCATATGCGAACCTAGCCCTCTGTATTCGTGCTGAAATTTCGTCGGAGATCAACCCGTTGGGGCTGATGGCACTTCCCAAGTAAGTGAAGCGGTCAACGTGCTCTACCACTTCACTTCCTATTTCTAATCTAGGGGTCGGTGAAGTCCAATCCTGCAGCATCATCTTACATTTTACAGGGGCGAATCGCATGCCAAACATACGAAGATTGTTGCTCAAGGTGTTCGGTAGACTCTGCATTTTGTCAACGTCCTGGCCTAGAAGGTCTATATCGTCTGCATATTCTAAGTCGACGAGATTATTCCCTAGTAGCAAGTCAATCCCTGAGTCGCTGAAGTTTGTTAGGGAGACCTTTATCAATCTGAAATCAGTTTAGAAAACTTCTGCACTCAGTACAATGAATAAAATTCAGATTTTTAAAACCAGTGTTAAGTCAGTAAGTTCTTCTCTATGGGTCAGAAACTTGGCTCACGCGTCACCTAAGGCATTTCCAACAGGCTACGGCAAACTTCTATCAACAGCTACCTTTGTTGGTTCCATAGTGAAAATCGGATGGCCGGACGGAAAGGATTAGCAACAAGAAACTACTGCCCAACAGTGGAGATGAATTGGACACATCCTGACGAGCCCGTTGGATGACATCGTGTGCCGGGCTATTGCTCGAGTGGAACCCGAATGGGAAACGACAAGTTGGGCGTGAGTCCGAGTGTGACTTATAGGAGAGGATAGTGTGAGGAGGAGATGAGAGCCTATGGGCAGTCATAGAGCCAGTTAATGAGGACTGCAGAGGACAGGACAAAATGAAGATATGGTGTTGAAGCCCATTGTTCCACTCGGAACCCAAGAGAATAATAATAATAATAATACACATGCACATAAACCAACTACTTACCAATTTTCCCTTGTCAACTAGATAAGATAAAATCTTTTCAGTGTGTTGTGCCAAAAATATTACAAATTCATCCAAGGAATCAGTTAGACGGAAGTTTTGATTAATTTCATTCAAGGTTACATCATCGTCAGGTAATAGATGCGTGATATACTTTGAAAACTCCTTGGATAAATTACTGAATATAAAGACAGAGGAAAATACATACACAAAAGCAAAGAATTACCATGAATAAAAGTAAGGCATTTAATATTCATGATGTGAAATTAAATAATTATTAGATACCCAAGGGAGATATTTCTACCAAAGTGACGGTCGCAGAGACTTGTACAGATAAGTGGCAGTATAGGCGGGTCATTAGGTCTTCATCCACCCTTGCCCTCGGAATGTTCTCATATTACCACACATCAGCAGTCTCTGCTGGACTTGCTTTATGAAAAGTGAAAGAGCGAATGTGATCGTCTGGAGATCATCATCAGACTGGTAGGGATGGAGTGTTCATCTTACGGAGTTAGGAAACCCGGATTCTAAACCTATGGTGAGTATAAGGTTCACGATCCAGAAGGGAGGAGTGTCGAGTGAACTTGCTTCAGTCACCGGCAACTAAGGGAACGAATCTTCTGACCTTGCTCTGCTGTCCTTCCTATGAATCAGACTTCAAGTCAAAAGCTCGAAGAGTAATCGCCTAAGACAACCAACTGCCTATATCTGAGCAGTAACTCATTAAACGACTTGTGTAACGTATCTATCTCTTGATGCTCATACAGTACTACATACGTTTTAAATATGATAAATTAACTTTCAGAATTTTCAGTGTTCAACACATTCCCATAGACAAAAACACTGACACCTTATATCACAAAAGCTATTGCTCATATGTTTATACATTCTGCATTCAATCCCGGCATCACCGGTTACGGAAGCTGCTTCGCTTAGATGATTTGGTCAAACAGATAGTATGATTATGCCTTACACAAGAGGTGTCGCTTACAGTAATATGCATTTAAATGGAAATGTGTGTTGAGTAATTTTTTTTCTTTCCATTGGCGGAGAAAACAAACAGCTCTCCAGTGCTCCCAGGTTTTCCAATGGTTCTCTAACCAATGTCAGCTCATGATGAAATCCTGTAACCAATCAACCAAATCCCTACAAACCAATACTTGAAGATCAATGAGATGTTCACTGGCGACTGTCCCTATTCAGGTAAGTAGTTACCTGTGGTTCTAGTGGGAAGTCGTGACCAGTAGGGTGCAGCAGGTCGGGTGTGAGGACAAATACTCGCCGAAGACATTGGCTAGCGGTTGCGCTATATCGTGAATTGGCAGAAGTTAGAATTCATGGGCCATTGGATGGGATTTCAATGGCTGAATGATCTAAGAGCTTGCTCGTCTTGTAACCAGAAGGTCCTGGGTTCGAAGCCCAGTGGGTGGGTACTGATGAAGAGACCCGAACTGGGACGAAACCGCTATCCAGTACTCCCAGGTTTCCCATTGGTTCTCTAACTGATGTCAGCTCATGATGAAATCCTGTAACCAATCAACGAAATCCCTACACACCAATACTTGAAAATCTAAATAAGCCAATGAGGCAGATAAGTTTGATGAACAGTTGAGTTAAATGTATGCTCGATAGCCAACAGTGAATAGGAAGGAAGGGAATATATTTCTACGCTCAATTCATTGTTCTTTTTCTAAATGGGGAATTTTTCAAATAATTGATTTTACACAGCAACATACCTACTTAACAAAAAGTAATTCAATAGAAGAGGGTAGAGTGTTCTGCATCTAAATACACACCCTACTGACATCATGTTATAAGTAGTAACTGAAGTAGTGATGAGTTGTTCACTTCTTGTCATCATTGTTTAAACACTTACTCTTCATAAACTTAATACATTTATTCCCCTTAATGAATTTGAATAAAGCAAGAACAACAGGCTTTGCAGAATCAAATTGGTACCATCATTGCTTATTTCGTTGGCTTCTCATCAGCTGCTTACAGACCAAAGTCGTCATTAAGTATATCCGATTTATGCGTTCAGAAAGAAGCGGTTATCAGTCTTTCCTTGTCCTGGTAACTGGATATTTTCACTCTCTCTTTCATCTGATTACGTAATGTCAAAGGTTTCCATTGTGTATGATTATTATTGTTTGTGATAAAGTGCTTATTATTATTATTGTATGCATATATTGATTGATTTTGTTTAAAAATGAACTCTGTGCAAGTATGTTGAAATTGTAGATATTTCTGTAGATATACTTAGTAATGTCTTTGGGCTGTAATCAGCTGATGTGAAGCCAACGAAATAAGCAATGATGGTACGATTTTGATTCTGCAAAGCCTGTTGTTCTTGCTTTATTCAAACTTACTTCATATATATTATATTTTTTAGAGATTTAACCTAGTAAACGTCATTAGGCATGTAATCAAGTATCTAAGTCGCATATAGAAACTAATAAAATGAATAAGTCGTACAAAAATATTCAAGGTAATCGTAATAATAATAATAATAATAATAGATGTCTACGTATAGAAGAACGTGGGATAGAGGGAAAAAGACGAGGAGACAGAGAGAAAGTTTAATTCGTGAGAGTTTCGCATTAAGGTATGCAAAAACAAGAACATAAATTGTCCCCTGAACAGATAGTTTTCAGAAATTTTATTTTTTCACAGCTAAATTATACATATAATTATATATAATCTATCTTTTTCAAACATATATTCGACTTTTTTTCAAATTCATAACAATATCCAGCCTAAAATAATATGCTAACAAGTAAGATAACACCTCAACAACTGCGAAGTTGATAGGCCTACAAAATATTGACTAAGAAATAGTAAGCATCTAATAACACTGAAGAAATTCGAAGGAAGAGTTGAGTGACACAAAAACCAAAAACGCTTAGTGTATGATTTTCAAGTGTTGGTTTGAGCGGATTTGTTCAACTTCACGGTGGATATTGTCACGAAAGAAACATTAGTGAGCCAACCATTTTAAACCTGGGAGCACACTACTACAGCTGTTTCGTCCTAGCCTGAGACTCTTGAGAAGTATACACTAATAAAACCAATCAGACGTTGAATTCGTGAATCTGAAATCAGAGGAATCCTCGGTGCTATATTCTTGTGTTCTATCCATTTTTCCTTATTGCTCACCCTTAATCTTTCCTGGGCTACTTAAGAAAAACTTTGCTACACTATGAACGACACTAAAAGCTATCAGTAGGGTGAGTGGAATGTTGATAAAACAACTTGTTAATACTGTTGCAGATAGACACATGGACTCATAGAAGAAGTTAGCGAATATTATCTTGTCTGACCTTGGTCATCCTCTCTATACACAACTCTCCCCTTACATGTCGTCAAGTAGGACTAGAAGCAACTATGAAAGACTATATGCTCGGAGGGTTAAGTATAAAATCTCCACAAAAAACCTTATTTGGCCGGAAAACATTTCATGTGATGAGGAAAGTGTAAGTATGATACTACTAATTTTGACACTGAGTAAACGGCCCTTTTTACTCTTTCTTTCCACTTAGGTTTCAAATTTATTTTCATGTTCTTATTGAACAATATTATCAATGTAAATGCCCTGTCTAATTATTACCCCTGTTATGAGAAAATTAGATGTAATACCGTACCACATGCTCAAAATTCCACACTTGTATCAAAAGTACTGTTTGGAATAAAGCTATTAATACTGCCATGAAGCATTTCTCATCAGTGGCTGGCAAGATAAACTTCTTGGAAGGCTAATGGGAAATCTTAACCAGTGGAGTCCATCAAGTCGGTAGCGACAGAAGACGTTCGTCGATGACTTTGCTGGTGGTGACTCTATATCGCGAATTGAGAAAAGTTAAAATTCATGAGCGAATGAATTCTGACAAAGTGACTGAACCATAACATAATCGCCTTGGAACCTAAAAGTTTCGCTGTCTAATACTGATGAGGTCACTGGTGTCGTATTCTGGAGAGACTAAGGCTTAGACGAGACATAAAGATAAAACTTGTGCACTGTGGTAGAGTATGTCATCGGTAAATATTACTGTATAAAGTGACACAGTGTTAATTTATCAAAATGAAATTTTATCCATAATGGAACTGAGACGAGACAGTTGTTCAGTGATTCTCTAGCTGATATTGATGAACGACGAGATCTTCGAAATTTGCTAAATGAGTTGTTATCAAAATGAGCTTAGAAATAGAGATAAGTAGGCATTTTATAAGAAGCAGACGACAGGAAGGCCTCTTACTTACTAACTTACTTTAGACAACCCACAAACCCTTGATATAAGAATAAAACTTGTGCACTGTGGTAGAGTGTAATTCCATTATGGGTAAATTTTATTTTGATAAAGTCTCACAGTGTTATACAGTAATGTTTACTGATGACGTTTCGAGCACAATTTATTGCTCATAATCATTAACAAGGATTCAGTTCATAGAATCTACACCAACACATGCAATAGGAATGATTCATCACTCATACCCGAAATATGGAAAATAATACTACCAATCAAATCAAGTGAAAAACAACGGAATTATATAAATGAATTTAGGAAGTCGTGTGATTACCTTGATATGATTATGAGCAATAAATTGTGCTCGAAACGTCATCAGTAAACATTACTGTATAACACTGTGAGACTCTATCAAAATAAAATTTACCCATAATGGAACCCACAAACCCTCCTAAGCATTGCAAAATATTAGTCAGGAAATTTTACTGCAGTATATTTAACGCATAACGCAAAGTGAAAATCAGTGATTCTCATCTGCAAGCGTCTTTTGCCCAGATTTGAATGATTTCAAGTTAGATTTCCAAAAGTTAGTTTGTAGGGATTTGATTTGTTTTAAGTTTGACCATTAAAAACCAGCACTAGAGTACTGGGCAGCTGTTTCGTCCTAGTTTTGGACTCATCAGGCCCCAGTGGCTGAATGATATAAGAGCTTGCCTTGTAGCTGAAAGGCCCTAGGTTCTAATGTAACAACAGAAGACAAGGGCCAGGCAACAGAACGTTTATTACGGAGAATCAACACGTATTTATACATTTTGATGTACATTATTGTAGGTTAATGTTAGTAGAAAATACAGTCTGTTGATTGGTTGTTTCTCACACAAAGTTAACCTTGCATCTCTTGTGGCTGTTTCAGTTCATCTATATGTTAACTGTATCCGCCTGTCCATCTTGACCTTTGACCTCAATTACTGTCAACCAATTTGGCTAGCAACCATCTCTCACCACACTAACCCCGATGGGTGTGTACTACTGAATGGTTCCAAACTGGGAGGAAACAGGTGTCCAGTACTCCCTGATTTTCAATGGTTCTCTAACTGATATCAATCCGTGGTCAAACTTCAGGCTAGATCACGAACTGATATCGGTTAGAGATCCACAGAAAATTAGGGAGTACCATATTTCACAAAAGCACACATAAGGGTGGAGAAAAAGAAACATAGAAGTATAAAGAAACTGTGATAAACAGAAATATACGGGAGAAAGAAAGAACATCAGGATAATAAGAATTTGATGGATCTAGGAGAATATCTGTGCGACTGAGAAAGACTCCGAGCCATGTCACCAGTTATTCCTCCTTAACATCTCCCGGCACCTCACCTCAAACAAACAGGTAAAAACACAGATTGGTGCCATCTCTTGATTGGACCATCCGTAACTCTTTTGCAGCCTAATCAATCCTATTTCGGCCAACATTACTCAACGAATAAGGCAATGGATTGACATGTAACCTCGGTCAGTGTGATTGCACAACCCCATCGACTGATACTCTTTTCCCATTTAAACCTATTATTACTGACAATAATATTCCACCGAACCAATTACTAACACCATGAGAAACACATAGAGATTCACATTACATAACAAACTGATGTACACAACACTAACCTTCACTAGTAATCACCTCAAACTGATAAATAGTTAACAGATAATTCGACTTTATTACTTTTTTTCCATTGACTTACCGATTAGATTTTCTTGTTCTGTCAGGAAAATTACACATTTTTGGCGAATTCGAGACACTGTCACTGTCAGTGGAGTCATTTACTTCATTGGCATTATTATTATTAGTAGTAGTAGTAGTATTAGTCCCATTTGTAGTAGTACGTTTAGTCAGTACTGATTTGTTCATCATTTCAGCATGTTCACTATAATATTTCACACCAAAGAATAAAAAAAGAAAACAATCTAGCGTGAACAACTCTCAGAAACATTGTTAACGGATAGGCGTATAAATTTTTGCTATTAGATGGTTGGAAACAATCGGCAGGAAGCCTTGCACCTAGGTTTCGTGCTAGTTGGTACTCAACAGCAAGGCGTATCTGCAACTTCGAAGGGATCCATGTCCCTTCTGAGATACGAACCCGCATCACCCAGTGCAGCAGTCAGAGACATTACCACTGAGCTACTCAGGCTTGCGATTGACCTCCTGTAGGACTGTATTGGATATTTTTCATTGGACACTAGTTAGTAACTAGTGTAATGTGTCTAGTCCTATCTTTGGTGCAGACTGAATTCTATCAGTCAAGTTTGCAAATGTGGCCACCATGCTAGGTGGCTCGCCATTACTGTGCATTGTGAATTGTTCGTACCAGATGGTTGGAGGTAATCGGCAGGAAGCACCAAAGATAGGACTAGACACATTACACTAGTTACTGACTAGTGTCCAATCAAAAGGAGTATAAATTGTTTTGATTAAAATGAAGTATCGAAACTAAAAGAACGATTTAAATATTTCTAAGCAGATTTCTCCATTGAGCTGTAAAATTATTAAAAACTAAGGTCAGCTGTTTTCTCCCTCCCCAGGATTCTTCAATAATGCTCACCCGAAATTCCGTAGGAGATGGAGTTCGGCGCCATCAGGTTTTAAATTGCGCCTATTACCAGCTAACCAACCAGTCGAAATCGAATGGCAGCTGAGTTCTAACAATGTCACTGCTATCCAGTGCATTAAATGGAAGACCCTTCCCCTCCCTACATTCTACATAGTGGACTACACATGGATAGCAATCACTTATCAGTATACTGTATCACACGTCACAAACGCTTCCCTTATAAGGATTTATTAACTGGAAGAGCTAACTGTTTGACACACGCTCACGTTGAACGCGACATACTCTGAGGTACCATTCTCAAAAACTTTGCTCTTTAAAAAGTGTACATAACCTACTTACAAGGCTTTCTACAAACTGTTTTAAAACATCTTACATAACGAACTAACAAGTTGGTTAGAACCCAGTCAACAGGATGAATTTCTCATGTACCAGGCCACCAGCTTTTGCCAAGCCAGAAGAAGGCAGGACGATTCGAGTAAGGGATCCGCTAGTTGAAAAATGGGTACTTAGGCTATTAAGCCACAGAAAAGAAACAAAGCTTAACGCAATATGAATCTCACGTAGACTAAACTGCATACAACAAGACATAGAGAAAACCTAAAAAAAGAGGAGCAGGGCAGCAAAACTTACCGTCGAAGACAAATAAGTTGATTATGCAAATCTCTGGCATTTTGTGTAGCAGTTGAACACTCTAACTCTAAATGGCTGATTTTCGATTTCAATGAGACAATCTCTTCATTCTGAAATGACACAAGTTAGAAAACAAAGTACGAATTGAATTAGAGTAAAGGAATCGGTAATTTACTTGGTTATCTACTTGATACCATGAATGGTAATCAAGAAAACAAGCGAAACAGCCGCATGCTGTATACTACTGATTAAATAGTATGTAGACTACTTATATTTACCAATCAGTACTATATAAGTATCACGAAGTAATAATTTAATTGAACGATACAAAAAAAGCTAGAGAATAATATAGAGAATGAATATATGACGTTTGCAGTTTTACGTTCATCATGTGTTGGATTTTGAATTTAGCGCTGAATATGTGGTCTAGAAAGACAACGGAAAGTCCTGCAATCGAACAAAGTAGCTTAAACAGCGTAATAAGATCGAAAACACTCAAGTGAGCTACAGATCTTCTTTAGCAATTCATACATACGAATTAATATAGAGAAAGCCTTCCTGTGAAGATATAAATTCCAATTTCACCACTAGAAAATTCATTTCACGATATGTAAAGAATATCTCTGAAATAACAGCTAGAATATTAAGACCATTTGAAACAGACGTAGCACACAAAAGTCAACCAACACAATCACTTCATTCAATATTGTGCTAAACAAAGGATCCAACAGCAAAAGGAAGTAAGATGAATACCATTTACAAAATAAATTGCTTAAGTTGTGATAAACACTACATTGGTCAAAGTAGTTGTCCCTTCAATCAGTGAACTATTGATGTGAAAAAATATGATTCAATCAATCGTGTAGACAATCAACGACACCAATCTGATTGGGAGAATGTAGAAATCTTGAAGACACAGAAAATGTCACGGAATTTCTAGAAGCCCGGTACTCATCAGCTGAATCAGCGATTAAAACAACACATTACTATTACACATCAAATTTACCAACCAATAAAAAATAAATCACATGACAAGAAAGTTCAAATTCCAAGTGATGAATAAAAATGATCAATAAAGATGTAACTTAACAACTAATAGCGAAAAAGGTTTTCAGGAGATACAATTATATCATCATCACTCATTTAAAATTCATATAAGTTCACTTTATAGAGCTTGCGGTGAAGATGTTGTCTAGAAGGACAACATAAAGCTTCACACAATTAAATCAAACGGCTCAGAGACAACAACCAAATCAGGAACGTTCGGAAACTGTTTCAGTTTACGTGTAACCCTTCAGCAATACAAGCGGTACATATCATAAGCAGAATAATAGTTTCTGTCATGCTTTAATTATACAAGGCAATCAATTAGTATGAAACGTGTAAAGGTGTACATTACACTAGATAAGCAGTTGGCTATCCTTTTTATAGGCATATTCTCCATGTCACTCATGTATAACAAATAATGTCGTGACTCGACATAGTGTTGCGTAACGTGTGCAGCTCCGACCTGTGTAGTTCCATAGCTAAAGCCTTATTATTATTATATCATTATTTTTCCCTTGGGTTCCTAGTGGAACATAGGGCTTCAACTGCACGTCGCCACTTGCTTCTGTCTTCTGTTGTACTTTTCACCCGCATCCATGTTAGTCCATACTCTTTAAACTCTTTTTCACACGATCTCCTCCATGTTACCTTTGGATGTCCCACTCGTCGCTCCCCTTTCGGATTCCACTCGAGTGATGGCCTGACGCGTGATGTCACCCAGAGGCCTCCTCAGCGAGTGTCCAATCCATCCCCACTTTCTCCTGCATATTTGTTGAGCGATTGGTTCTTGCTTTGTTTCTTCCCATAGTTTCTTGTTGGTGATTCTTTGTGGCCATATGATCTTCAGTGTAGTGCGAAGACAGTTGTTGATAAAGGTCTGCAACAGGCTGTTGGAAATATTCTTTGTGACACACTGGCCAAGTTTCTGATCCGTATAGAAGAACTGACTGACTTGACGTTTGTATTGAAAATCCGAATTTTGTTGTTGATGCTGAGTGAAGAAGATTTCCAGATTGGTTTCACGTGAATGAATGTGTTTCTCGCCTTCCCGATTCTCAATTTGACATCCTCGTCCGTTCCTCCTGTAGTTGAGACAATGCTCCCTAGATAAGTGAATGAAGTAACCTCTTTCAAATCCCTCCCGTTGATGTGATTGGCGCTGGATGTTTCTGCTGTTGTTGTTGTCGGTTGGTTATTTTCATAACCTCCGTCTTGTCTATGTTCACCTGGAGTCCTGTCTTTGCTGCTTCTTCCACCAGTTTGTCAGTTTTCGCTTGTAAGTCTTCGATTTTGTGTGACATCAAACATAAATCATCTGCGAAATCCAGGTCTTCTAGGTTCTTCGTGTCGGTTCAGGATATCCCTGTCTTCTCGTTTCCCACTGTCTGACGCATAATCCAGTCCACCACAATTAGGAATATCATTGGTGATAATAAGCACCCTTGTCTGACTCCTGTGTTTACTCCAAACGCTTCGCTGAGTTTTCCGTTGTGGATCACTTGACATGTGCCGTTGTCGTACAGCTGTTGAATAAGGTTGATGAATATTTGGGGTACACCGTAGTACTCGAGTAGCTAAACCTTCAGCAACATAAATTAAGTAAGCCTACATTGACTTTGGGAGGGCACAAAACTCTGAAAGAATGGTTCAATATGAATATGATGTACAATTATTAGGCTTTCTTTAAAACCTCTTGTAACTCTTCGGAACTAGGCAGGGTAGTGTACTGTACTGTACTCTTTCTAACAGAACTCCTACTGAGCAAAACAGATACAAATAAAGTCATCAGTTGTATGTATACTGCAGACAATTCAAATCCCATTCCACCTACATCAGCTTGAATAACTGGATAGAACCATCAGACCTCACACAATAAGCGTATGGTTCATAGCCACACCGTAGATTACTGTGCGCATCACAGTATTCGTCAGTGAGGTTCTTAGCTACGACAGAATCAGTTCCATGAACATGAGTTCCCTTGAAAAGATAGTACAGGTTTGATTTCATACAGACACCTTAGTTAGGCGAAGCTCATAGTGCATCCTACTTTATAAACTTCAAGGAGTCATCAACTTCTATAGTTCAGACTGGCTTAAGTACTCCACTTTCAGTTAATGAATACCTAGTTCGAATCCAGGCTTAACCTACGTCAACCTCGAGAAATGATTAATATGCCCAGCCATTCTCATATAGCCTGGTAGCTGAATATCAACCCCGCTCGCACCCACAGTACATAAAATTCAATTGAAATTTTCAACTGCCTATCACTAAAGTATCTATTTAACAAATGAAATAGGCAGCTGATAAGAGACTAACTATCTTCACTAGTAATGATGACTTTATAAACAAATTCTAATCGATTTCGCATGAGTGAAAGCGTTTTCTTTTCACCAACTACTAGTGTTTTATCGCTTGTGAATTGTACCCACTTATCAATGATAGAGATTGATGAAAACATCACCAGTAATTAAATCACTATTTAAGAATCATTTGGAAATGACGAGGCAGAAGAAGTCAGCTGAATAGTTAAAGTTTCCAGTTTCCCTCTACAATATTTGTAGAGTAAACTAGAGATGGCAAGACGGTGTTAAACACACACTAATCAACAAATACCCTACTAATCTAATTTATTACTCTGATTTATTGCAAGTAGTAAGAGGCGATTAAAATTGGTTTAGAAAACCAACCAATGATTGTTTTTTGTTCTGATTTTTGTTTTTATTTTGTATTTTCCACTATGTTACTTATGGAACGCATATTATCACAATGGCGTTTATCTGTACACTGGAAGCAAATTCTCACAAGCTCACTTAAAGTTATACACCATGCATTAGAGGTGCGGAGGAGTGTGTTTGAGTGTGGTGTGTGGGGTCGACTACCAGCCAACGCACTCCTAATTTACATGTTGGGGTAGCAAACCCGGGGAAAGTAGGAAAGGTTGGGTGCTAGGCAAAAATAGAAAACCACCGTTTGAAGCACTAGATCCCACTCGGAATCTAAGGGATGAAAAAATAATACATGACACTCACTATATGGACTGGTACCATTTTAATACGCTGAAAGTCCAAAATCATTTTTCATAACAATAGCAAATGATGAGTGACATTCATCATTTAAAAGTTATCCAGTTCAGAGTGTAACTGTAACAAAGACTCCCTTACTTGCTTGCTTCCTTGATGCTAAACAGATTATATCTCGTAATTTCAAAAGAATCTGTGGTCAATTTTCACCACTGATTAATTAGCTGAGAAATAAACAAGTGGAATGGATGTGCAATGTGTTTAGACCACCTTGACCTAGCTAGCGAGCAATACCAGTTGACATGAATGGTGTCCAAACAACCATATAAATCAGTAGTATATACCGTCTTGAAATAATATAAGTTGTTATGGATAATAATAATAATAATAGCTTTTCATGAATTTGTTTGTAGAGATTTCATTTTGCTTTCAGTCCATGATCACACCTGAAAGAAAATCAAATCCCTACAAATACACTCATGAAAATTAATCTGATACTCGCCAGTCACTAGCTGCGGGACGAAGTTTCCTGGAGTTCTAGTGAGAAGTCATGACCAGTGGGGCTCATCTAGTGTGAAGTTGGGACAAATACTCGCCGCTGATGACATTGACTAGTGGGGTCACGCTAAAATCATGAATTGGCAGAAGTTAGAATTCATGGACTGGCCATTGAGTCAGATCTGAATGGTCTACGAGCTTGAGTTTTAACCGGAAAGACCTGGGTTCGAACCCCTGCGGAGAGTGTGTGCTACCGATGAATCCTAAACTAGGACAAAACAGTTGTCCAGTACTCCCCGGTTTTCAATGGTTGTTCCCTAACTGATATCGATCCGTAGTCAAAATTGAAGTAATGCCTTTATGCCAAACGATACTTTTGGTATGACTTGGAATTTCCAGCAGGCAGTGCAACAGTGTATACTATTTTCTGTTTACATCGTACAAGAGGAAATAATCACACAGTGCATTTACTTTGATAATATTGTTCAGTAAGAACATGAAAATTAATTTGGAACCTAAGTGGAAAGAAAGAGTAAAAAGGACCG